AGATTTTTTCGCCACAAAATTCTATAATTTAATTTTGTATGCGGCTGCTTATGTATGTACGTAGCATGCGCTTCTTAGTTCTCTAAGTTTTTTTTCATTAAATTGTCGCTGCTCTCGACTCTAAACCGTATTAGTTCTCTAAAATTCCCTTCATTATTAAGGACATCCTCGTCATTCGTGCTGTCATTAGGAACAAGTCGTCCCCTATCTCTATGCCCTCTAAGTGGTATATGTTGGTGACCTAAAAAAATTATAGATTCTGTTATAGGAGTCAATCTTTGCCGATTTTCTGATACTTGCTTAATTCGCTCTGAACCTATTATATTTCTTACATCATTCTCTGGATTTTCGTAAATCTTTAAAAAGTTTGTAGCATTTGAAACTGTTTCTGTATGATATATTGAGTTCTCATGTGTCTCACAACCATCGGTTTTGCCATACAATTTCGAAAATTTTTTTAGTGGTACGGTAACAAGTTTTCCCAATTTAGTTGATTTATGTACTCCTCCTAATTTTGCAAAAACCACGCAATATTTACGGAAATTCCTTGTAGTTCCTCTGAATATGACAGCCAAGGAAATTTCTCAAAGTGTTTTTTTGATAAGTAACATTTCACTTCTTTATTATTTTCAAGTGGAATATTTGAAAGAGTCATTTGGGATCATTGCACACCTCAATAATGGATATTTTTCATGGGAAGACAAGTTGCCGCTGAAATTTACATATGGCGCAACATCAAGAAAGTTGGATCCTTTAGGTTTCGCACCCGATTGTTCAACACTTGGTTCAGCATACGGTGCAACATCAATAAATTTTGAAGTGGAAGGCTCAGGTTGAATTGTAGGATTATCATCAGTTTTTTGCGGTATTTCTTGTGCCGGTGGTTCAGACAGTTTGTTTTGTTTAGAAAGGAACCAATCGATGGTATTCTGTTTCCTTTTACTCATCCTGACAACAGTAGCCGTCAACTAGCACTAAAGGTTATTCAAATATTGTCAAATAATCGGCATTATTGGTTTCCACGCATTCACGTATCTCATAACAAAGAACCTTTTCTGGTTGGAAAACAAGATTTCTTAAGTTCACGCAATTTCTAAAAACTAAATATATAATTTGCCATCTCGGACGAACGAAATGCACTGAAGTGCTTATATACAGGGACTTCCGAGACAAAATAGACATAGATGATAATGATAGCTGACCAAACACTTCGTAATTGAAATTATATTAAATTTCAATTCTTCCGTCTGTCATTTTTTTAGACACGATTCTTTTATAGTATAAAAATTAAAAAAAAAACAAAAATTAATTTTCTGGCTTGTGTGGAAAATAAAAATCAATAGATCATAGAAAATAGCGTTAATACCAACCAGAACAACAAAAATCCGCTTGTTCATTTCTCAGCCTAATTTTGTAGCGGACTGGTACAGAATTTAGACACGAGACTAGACCATAAAAGACTAGATTATCCCAACTAACAATTATCACTCCTATTAGAGTTGCAAGAATGATTATACAGTATTCCTTACACAGAATTGTATACTGTAAGAACATTGGCAAAACCCTCTTAGAACAGCTATACAAGCGGAATGGGCACACCTAATAGGACACTTCAGCCATTTACGAGGTTGTATAAGGGCTGCAGGTAACAGTTATACAACAAAAGTGTAAGCCTCTTGCAGCCGCTATAGGACATTTGCGTCAGTGCAAGATTCAGTTTTTGTCAACTATACAACTATTCTGTTACGTGATTCTACTTTATTGCAACCAAACTATTTCTTATGTATTGTATAGACGAAGTGAAGAATATATATAACTAACACAATACAGTTATCTTGTTTACTTACATATCGGCCATTGTGATTTTCATACACAGGTATATGATAAACTTCTACACTGTGATATAGGGCTATTGAATTACTTGCGCAGCAAATTTTATTGTGATTATCATGCAAAGTAGTTACGCAATTTCTACGGGCTTCTTATTTGATTCATATTTTGATAATGATCAAAAGTATGTCTAGATTTTTAAGATGGAAAACTGAACTTATCTGCGTTAAATCTTCCACAAATCCTATATTTAGACACAATTACACTAATGTTTATCACTTTATATCTGTAATTTCGAACTGAAATATAATTATTTAATATCAAATAGAGGAATAAATGTGTGCCCAATATGGCGGGTGGTTGTGTATAATCATGGCATCGTCCATGTTGTCTTTCGTTTATTAGAATATTTTGGTGTTGCCTGCAGGTGTTATAAAACAATTTGACAAATGTCAGAAATGAAATACCCACACAGTCTAATGATTTACCTAGAATTTGTACCAGATCTATATCTTCTGTTTGAACAGTTGATAAAATCTTTTTAACCAATATGCATGCGTTGTTTGTCTTAAAACATTGGTTATGGTATTTTAACAAAAATATGACAGCAGAAAGTTAGGTTATGGTGAAGTTGTATACCAACATATTTAGCATATGTACAGCCTTTAACAGTTACTAAACAACAGTTGTATAAGTGCTTCCCTTGGGAGCAATTTGTTGGCTAAAGTAGTAAATGTCCACAGCAAAACAACAAGGCTCGGGTTTGTTTTATAAACGTTACCATGGATGCCACAACACAAACACAACCATTTTGACTAACCTGCAAATATGCCGTATAAAATAGTTTTATACACGTTTATGCAACAGTTGAAAATTTGTCCTATAAGGTGTTGTGTAACTATGCTATAAGAATATTTTAAATAGCTCATTTTAGAGCAAATATGTTGCAGAAAGCAGGTTTGCATTCCACACAACATTAAGCCTGCATTTTGGTGTTCAGGCAACAACAATAGAGAGCTTTTATGGCTGAACGGTTCTTTTACCAAAAGTTTATAGCACTACTTTGCTAGTTGGGATACCTGTTCCAACAGGAAGAAGCGCACACCGTTGCTGTTAGTGGGAGAGTAGTCGCTAGTGGTATGCGCACTGAGCGGGTTGGCAGTGTTGCCGCTATCCTTTCTTAAAGTTACAGATTTTTTTATAAGACGTTTACTTTATACCACCTTTTCAAAGAGTGCTCGAGTCGTCTGGGGGGGGGCAATTACCCTCGTTAACCCCCGTGGGAGCGCCAGTGCATAGTAGGCACGATCATCGTGCAAGCATCCACACAAGCGTCTGTAGAAGTTTGTCAAACGGCAAGCATCAATATGACACGGCGATTCCCTTTGATGCGTGTCTGAAAAACAGACAATTCACGGGTCGAAAGCGATCATTGACAATGCTCGGCGAGTACAGCCTCTATAGAGGGCAGGGTAGATACGATCGTGCTCGCGCGTAATCGTTTGTAAGCGCCGATTGTGAAGAGGAGCCATTATACGGACATCCCTCTTGAACGGACACTTTCAGTCGGTCCCGTTCACTAACCAAAGGAGGTTTCACTGGATATCTGGGAATGAGAAATGAAATAGGAGAAAAAATGTTGATTTTCCTAAAAAATAGAACTATAGAACTGTCTAATAGATTTGGGTGAAAACGTGTCTCCGGAGGAAATTAGATATGCAAATTCTGAATCCGACGTCAATTTGATACTAGGATAGATAGTCTCAAGCGAGCAATTTTATACCCCAATACGGTCAACATTTTGTTTAAGATCATTTTCGAATTCAGCCCCCAAATAACCTAGGTGGACCAAGTTTCATTCATTGTGACAATGCGAAAACCTGTCATAGATTGAAAAAACAAGTATTGAAAATGAACGAAAATTATTACCTATTTTAAAGTTTATACCTTGAACAATAAAGTTGGCCATTTAATCAGAACTTTACTTACGTTACACTGTCATGGTACATTAAATTTTTGGTGTATAATTCGACACTATTATTTAACTGAAAAGCTTTTCCGTATCATTCGTTGTGTTGTGTGTTGAAAATATCCGACCATCTCAATATGGATAATAATAAAGAGAAGACGAACCTTCATTTGGTGTAACAGAAATTCGTCATTACTGTTGTTATCGGATTGCTATTTTTGCTTCACATTTTTATCAGAGAGGATCTTAATAAGATTTATTTCACTCTTTGGCCCAATAACTAAGGTGTATGATCCTTGAAGTACTGACAGATAAAATCTAGTGCTAACTTCTGCAAACTATTGAGACATTTTACCGTATAATGGCAGGTGGTCGCAAAACGATTGTTCAACTCTTTCAAATCTGTCCTTCGAGAGGTCACAAAATACCTTTCAAATGCCTTACTAGAGACAAACTGATTGTGATTTGGACTGAATGACCGCGAAAACCTATATGCCACGGGTCTCAGCTCGAATGCTAGACTTATTTTGTATCTGTCCTTGAAATGACCTTCAGATATTCTTATAGTGATTCAGACTTAATAACTAGAAAAATCTAAATTACACGTGGTTGGGATCAACTGCTCGGGTTCTTTTAAAAATGTTCTTGATATGTATTTGAAGTGCCTTCATAGCAAAAGCTAGCCTCAGAATTTCAAATATAGGGCTAGCGTCGCTGATTTCAATCAGCGACATAAAAACTCTTTTTTTGGGTAAATCCGATGAGTAAATTCCGAATATGATGTCAATTTGGTGCTCTTACCCGTGGTTTCCAAAAGACCCATTCCCTACCCCTTATTGGACGCCACGATATTACGATTTTATGATTATTCATTTGCAACGAAAACATTTTTATTTTTGCCCTACAAAACGAATATGTATAATATTTTGAGGTTTCCTTTATGAAGCTTTATATCTTGGTGTCACCCCCCGCTCTTCAATTGTCTCAAGAGCATTTGCTCTCAGAAACGATGATGCATGCAACTGCAGCCGCCACCCCCTACTCTTCCATTTTTAATCGCTGATAACACTTCTTCCCGAGGGACTCGAAACATCGTCCTCAACATGAATGCTGTGTTCCTTACTAAACCCGAAATCCTCCTTTGGCGTAAGAAGATTTGAGTGGGAAGTTATAGGATAGGATAAGCCTGTTGGGAATTTTCCTAGAAGTATCTATACTTAAGTCGAACTCCTCTAGCATTATATCTTATCTTACCTGGACAGTTCTTGCAAGAATAATGGCACCGCTGGCAACCGTATACCGTTTTGTAGTATCCTTCCGGGCAATCTGGCCTGCATTCGCCTGCTAAAAGTTGCCATCCGGTGGGACAGGAGACGCACTGATCTCGACCTGGACCGCTGCAAGTGCGACAGCTCATGTAGCACCGCTGACAGGCTCCTTTGTCGCTGTAGTAGCCGTTTGCACATGCTGACAGGCATTCACCGCTCTGGAGCTGAAAACAAAGTAGTGGCGTATGAAAGGTGTCCCACGTGAAACTGCAGTGATCGGTTACTCGAAAATTTGACGTTAGACAATCATGAAAACTTGAGTTATGGTATACCTGAATATTTCGGCTAAGATATTATCAAAATGATGGTGACACCTCGGGGTTGTACCGGAAATTAACACTAACTTGTTTATTTTAAATGAAACATCCTGTGTATATTGTTAAATTTCTGAAATCTCGCAGGATTTTAAATGAATTTCATCCTATATCTAACCGTTTTTGACAAATTGTAAAAAAAAATTCATATCCAGGTTCATAAAGGCCTATCAATTTTTCGTATATTTCTGCCTTTGTCAAATGATTTTTAACTGCTTTCTTATAGAATGGGGTCTAGTTTGAGTAGCCTTCATCAGATATTTTGATAATATTGCAGGGTGGGGAACCTGAATGGTTCATGTGAAGAAATGCATACAAAATTCATCATATGAAACGTTACTACAAAAGTGGAAATTACACTATTATCTTTTGTAAATATCGCCTAAAAACTCATAATTCTCCAGTTTTTATCGTATTGGCATGCTCGGTATGGATGAAAAGTGTGTACTGCCGATCGATTCCGTTGTATAGTCTTTTTCACAAGTATCCATTACGATAGAATTAAACCTGATTCTCTAGTAATATTTCAAAATTCCCCATATCGGCAAAGGACACATAATTCTGACGGATCCGCCAGTGCCAGGTAGACAGAGCCATATTTTGTTTGGTTTTTTTGTACGCTAAAATCTCTTTTATTCAGAAAAGTTCATTTGCATTCAAAAAACAAAACGATACAAACAAAACTGTTACTAGATTTACACCCGTTTCATTATTGCCAACGTTGCAGACTAACACAAAAACGTCACTTGCTGATCAGCTGTTCACCTCGGTAGACGTCAGACATCAATGGATACTCGTGAAATAGGGTATATCAGCGTGATATAAAATATTTTTATCTTCGACTCTCGAGCTAGTTGTACCTTGAAAAGCATGGTATAGTTGTAGTCACCGTTCTTGGTGGTTACGTCATCAACGCTATATGAAATAAGTAAATAGATCGAGCCTCGGTACCATGGGCGGAACACTGCGCAGACTAATCTTGAGCGCATCTGCTACTCTTACGTAACGACGTTTTCGAGACGGAGACACACAACTAAAAAACGTATGTCTTTGAGCTTACCGAACAAACGTGCACACACAGGGGTAGGTTGCATGTGTATATATGAGGAAGATAGAGATATATATAAAGGGATACTGGTAGTCTTACTTTGACCCGTCAAGAACGGTGACTACAAATATAGCTGCATTCATATCTTGAGGGACCATAAACATATTATGAGGGACTTTTACCTGTAGCCCAGTCCTACACTCGGTACAATTCGTCTTTGATAGACACCTAGAGCACGTGTGCAAGCATGGTTCGCACAGTTGACTCTCCCTGCCGCTGTAGTATCCTTTATCACACTTCCCCACGCATTTGGTGCCCTGCAGGATCAAAGGGCTGGCGCACGAGAGGCAGGCCTTTTCTGTTGGTCCATCGCAACTGTCGCAAGTAGAATGGCAGGGCTTGCACAGTCCACTGTCGTAATACTGGTCTGGAAAGTATTAGGAGAGTTTTGTAGATTAAGAGTCCATGGATGTATTCGTACTTTTAAGGTCTCTCTGAACGAGCAATATTTATGTTGCAATAACTGGTAACTACGTAGCCCAACCATAATGACTATATTCTCCGATTCACATATTCTATCTGACATAATACTACATTTCAATGTAAAAAAATTGTACGAAATGAAATGAGAGACCATGGCGTCATTTCTGACAATACGTCACATCTTTCTCCTCTCCACAATAATTAGAAATATACTTTAAAAAGGTTAGGCTCTCATACATGACGCCATGCTCATATATGTTCATATAACCCGTATCCCTACTGAGCGGGGACGTGACAAAAGCTTGTTCCGGAAGTTGTTGTATCCAGTATACTACGTACTTCACGTTCAAGTGATTGTACACGCGTTAAGGAATACCTCAGTACCGATTGCCGGGTGGCGGTACAAGTCCGCCAACGGGCCAGGTTAGGTCTATCTTATGTCATTAACACGAAAAAAGAAGGTGATAGACAAGGACCAGTCGCCCGAGGCGATACCACCCGCTAGCATTTTCTTATAAATGTCCGCATGTTTCCACACCTAAGCTATGCAGTCGGTTATCTTCCAAAACAAAGAAATTAATGATGATGGATCCCTCGAGGACTACGAATTCCGGACGTAAACTCACTCCACTCTCGGAATGTCCGGATGGAGGGTGGGCTCGAGGAACAACATCGAATATAAAATTTGTTTTACGAAAATCTGCGATTAACAGCAACATTGATGCTGTTCATCACTACCTGCAATCCAATAGTCCCGCCATGCTTTTCTTGGCGGAGACATAAATCTCAGAGTCTGCACCGATTAACCATCTGAACTTTAAAAATTACGAGGTGCACTCCAATCTGAGAAAGAACAGGGGAGTTGTGGCTTTTGTCCGCAGCAGTCTTTCCTGTTCCAGAGATGTTTCTTTGGAATCAGACCGGATGGCCATTCTGTGGCTTCGCCTCAACTCCAAAACATCACCCAAATTTATTTGCTGCCTTCATCGCTCTCCCTCGGACCTCGGACCATAACTGGGATGACCTACTTGAACCCCTTGCCGTTAAGATCGATCTTCTGAACATCAATCACCCCGCTTCAGAGGTAGTTCTTCTCGGTGATTTCAATGCCCATAATCAGCTTTGATTGGACTCAAACAAGACTGATGCAGCAGGTCGTGCAGTCGAAGCGTTCGCGCTTACTCAAGGGCTGACCCAGCTGGCATGAGCACTACTTTTTCCCCCGCGTCTCGTAACATGCCAGTAGCCTGCTGGATCTCTTTCTGACCAGGCATCCTGTTCCTTACAGCACTGCTGTCCTGTCCCCCCTAGGTAACTCAGACCACGGTGTTGTGAAGGTTAGGCTTCGGTCAAAACACGCTGTGGCATCAGAAACTCGCACAGGCCGCGAAACTTGGCATTACGGACATGCCGACTGGGAGCGGCTCAGAGAATCCTTCTCTAATTTTCCTGTTTCACTAACGCGGATGCGACGGGTGTCTGTTCTTCGATAACAGAAATTATCCACGTCGGAATGGAAGAATACATCCCTCACACAGTGAAAGTGCCAGCAGAAGATCAAGGCATACAAAACCTTCTTACAAAACCCCACTGTAGAGAACAGATAAGCCGACGTCGAGTCCAGAAACAAATGTAACGAAGCGGTTCGCAATGCCAAAAACCAGCACGATATAAAAGTTAAGCTCAGGGTAATGTCACAGCGCTATGGCGGTCGGTCTTTCTGGACGCTGGCCAAGCAGATTGAAAAGGACTTCTCACACAGTAGCCTTCCACCATGGAACGATTGTATGGCCAAGGTGGAAATGCTTGCCAAGATCTTTGATGCCAACTCCACCATGGACGCCCAAGTGAAGTCAATTCAAAGGGGGAGGTAACATTCAGGGATAAGACCGTAAGACGTGTACTCTTGTCGCTCGACATGAACAAATCTTCTGGTTCGGACTTGATTCCTGCCATTGTACTGAAGAGGTGTGCAGCGGAGCTTGCTCCAGTTCTTTCGCGTATCTTCCAGATATCTTTTGAATCCGGCACCTTCCCAGAAAACTGGAAAATTGCTCATGTCTAACCCATCCCAAAAAAGGGATCTAAGACCGACCCTTACAACTACAGGGCTATAGCTCCGCTTTCTGTTATAAGTAAGGTTTTAGAGAGGTGCATAAATCGCAAGCTTCTGGACTACCTCGAACGTCACAGCTTGATTAGCGACAATCAGTATGGTTTCAGGTACCAACGATCCACATTGGACCTCCTAGCCTACGTCACGCAATTGTGGAGTAAACTCATCCAGTCTTATGGTGAGGCTCATGTCGTTGCTCTTGACATCACGAAAGCGTTCGATCAGCTGTGGCACGCTGCCCTCTTAAGCAAACTTCCATCGTATGGCCTCCCAGAAAATCTTTGCAGATAAGTGCCTGACTTTATCTCTGGCCGCAAGATATCCGTTGTAATTGACGGGTTCTTCTCTTCATCCCACAACGTCGACGCGGGTGTTCCCCAGGGATCGGTCTTGGCTCCGACACTGTTCCTCTTACATATCAACGACCTCCTCTCCTGTACGATCAACCCAATCCACAGCTTCGCTGATGACAGCACTCTACATGCAGGAATTAAGAGTGACAAGCCGATCTTTGCCGCTGAGCTGGAAAAAAGAAGAGTAGTGGCGACTTCCTCTCTGACAAGAGACCTGGAGGCTATCACTGCTTGGGGACGCAACAAGCTTGTACAGTTTAATGCTTCCAAAACACAGTACTGTACGAACAAAAAGCGTCCTAGCGCTCATCCGGTTTCGTGGATGGCCGAGTTCTGCCAAAGAGCCATTCGTTTCGTGCTAGTTGGAGTCCAGATCACCAAGGACCTGATCTGGCACGAACACATCTCGTCAATATACGGCAGCTGGTGGGAAAAAGCTAGGCTATTGGTTTAGGGCTAAGAAGTACTTTTCTCGGCATGACCTGCTCACTCTATAGAAGGCCCAGATAAGGCCTAACCTCGAGTATTGCTCACACGTTTGGGGTACTGTCGCCCTGACTACATTATTTATGCTCGATGCAGCCCAAAGGAGGGTGGTCGGACTGATCGATGACTCTTCCCCAAGAGACAGTCTCGGGACTCTTTCGCACTGGCGGGCCGTCGGCGAACTAGCTCTTTTTTACCGCTACACCAACGGGCTTTGCTCCTAAGAGCTCTCTTCCATGATGCCGCCGCGCGATGTGCCTGCCAGACAGACCCGCCTGACTTTGGCGTCCCATTCTGACCGTATCGAACTTCGTACATCCAGAACTGGGCGATACGACCTCTCCTTTGTCCCGAGGGTGTCGAGGTTGTGGAACAATTTACAAGAGGAAGCTTTTCCCACTTCTACTAACCTTAGGCAGTTCAAAAATCGTATTAACACAATTTGTTTGGGATCATAGCAGCCGCGGTGTTCCGGCATTCAGGCTTCTGCCTGCGCGGCTGCTTCGATATATATATATATATATATATATATATATATATATATGTATATGAGAAGTAGTCATTGCCAAAGCCAACGACTAGTTGGGTACAAAATACAATTACTTGTTAATTGGGAAATTGGAAAAACTTTTAGGCTAAAGTTGACTCTTTTGACGATAAAATCAAGCTTTCGGCATTCTCTATGGAGCCATCATCAGGATTCTGAAAACACAATTGTGATGCAAATAAAGAAGACAGATTTAAAATGTCAGACAACTTACTCGTCGGTGAGGTTGCAGCCACAAGGTGTTTCAGAAAGAACGTAGAGAAGATCGAACTTGTGTTCAGTATAAAAACAAAAGAACGGGGCTTTAACAAGCCCAATGTATATATATATATAAATGGCTCTTAAGCCAATTTATGAGACACTAAGCTTTTTAAAGCAGATTTATGACTATTGCTGTGACAAATTCTCAAAGATTACGCCAAGGTATCTCATTTCACTCGGATAATGTTTTGAAGAACATGTGAATCAATGCTACGAGGACTGTTCGTAAAATAAGTTTTCCACATTTTTTTCAGGCACAAGTAACTTTTTATTTGAAAAAACGAATTTACCATTGGAAACGTTGAGCTATTTTTCTACATAGTTGCCATTCTTTCTACGCATTTTTTTTTTGATGTGGACCTGCTCCTTGCAACTCCTCGAACCGTTGACCGCGTAGGTGCTCCTTCAATTTTGGAAACGCTGTCATGGCTGTAAGGGGGATGGGCAATGACTTTCCAGGCAAATCGCTCGATTCAGTCCTTCGTTTATTGTGAGACATGAGGATGCGCATTGTCGTGGTATAGTATTTGGAGGGTTTTCCCCTACGATGATTTTGGATTGCCCGTATCAGCTTCTTCGAAGTCTCAGGAATTTCAACCGCTTATTTCCGGATCGTTATTCGCCGATCTTCGAGCAAGATTTGCTCAATCTTCGCCTTAACCTCCTCGGATATCGACGGCCTCCCGTTTCGTTGTTCATCGTGAATGTCCTTGCGGCCGCCAAGAAAACTCTCTTCACCACAAACACGACGATGTTGTCAGATTTCGCCTAGCATCACGCGCACCAAAGTTACGGCGTTGGCAACCCTATTTTTGAGACAACCCTCGCATATTGCAGCAGCTGGCGCTGCTATATGTATATTGCTCAGCAATATTGTTCGCAAGACATATGTAGATAATATACTCTTGTGAGAGTGTCTCGTCAGAAGAGCCACAAAATCGGACAATTTTGACTGATGAATTGAAGTAGGGTTCTACTAGTTCAGCACTCTGAGTGTAATATTGCAAATGTAAAACATGTGAGACTATGTATCCGGGCCACACTAAACATATTACCTCATGCTATTGGCTACTGTGTTGCAGCTGGGTAATGCAGTATAAATATTGTTGGTTTGGAAACGCCTTTATTGATGAATGAGCCATGAATAGAGTATTACGTATACAGCGTGTTTGTCAGGTTGATTGTGTGGACAGGATTATCTGAAAGCAGGAGCTTCTTTTAGAGTATGTCGAGTACGTCAATATCCTTGCATCGCGGTAATCATGCAACAAACGTGTGTTTTAGAATGGAGCTGTTCAACCAAAAGTTGCTTCACTTTATACTCTGGATGTTTAGTTTGATAGTTCGATGACGGTTAACGATATGCTGCTTATGTTTACCGAATTTAATTTTGGTTGGCAGAATAAAGCAAATTAAAAGAAGCTATAGCTTATGGTAGCGACCGTTCTGACCAGTGGCCAGTAGCTTGCTCATGAGCGGTGGCATATCAAAAGTTGTCACAGTTCACTCAGTTCACAAATAGTGGGTAAAAATCGGGGTAAATATTTCTCACAAAAGAAACAAAAATGAGATAGTTGCGTAGCCACTATTAAAATATATGCAGTTTAAAAACTGATAAATCACTTACGTCCCAATGCATGAGGGAGGAAAACACTGTGATCGCAGAAAAATAGGACCGTAAATAACAGGTTCTTATATCCATATTACTCATTTCCGTTGCCCGTCTGTGTGTTGGGGATATATTACTATCGTAATCTCGGAAATAGCTGCACCGATTTTAATAGAATACGATGCGGTGTCATATGGCATTAGTTCTCAAACTTTGTTTTTATATGTTTCGTAACTTTCTGGACATTTTTGGACGTAAATGAAAATTTTTTGGAGAGATTGCAATTTTGAAAAGTTTCTAAACTTGCTTTTGCTGTTTCTGTTCACCTTAGGTTGAACGATAGTAAAAAATGTAATTATGGAGGTCAAAAATCTCAACCTATACCAAAGCTTATTTTTGACTTACATATAAGAAACATTGTTATCAAACAGTATTTGTTTATCAAGGATTGTCTATTTGTAGGATGGAAATTTTGAAAATCGGCATTTGTGGATAATATGCAGGAAATACCGACTCAATATATTTAACACTATTTTTTCATAAAATTTATGTAATAAGTTATTCAAAATTTGAGGCGATTTTAGTGTTTCGTGATTTTACTAAGTCATACAGTTGGTCCATAAAGGTCCTAAGGCATTTAGTAACTTTTAATTTGGAAGTGTTTTTCCAGCTGGTGCTGTTTAAGCGCTTCAGAATTTATAGTGTGGCGTACGGCTTAAAAACTTGCGTGACATTGTGGATAGCACTTTATAAATTTTTCATTGCACAGTCGGTGCCTCGTATCATGGATACGGCCGATAGGGCGGTTACTACGCCTATCGTTCTGACTAAAAGCAACAGCGACCTTAACCTGACCGCAACGACTCGGCATGTGTATACAAATCGTCCCTTTAGAATAGAACTAGCCTAAGTCCAAAAAGCAAAGTTTTCAGGAAACGGTTTTTTTTTAATAGATTCTTTATTTATACAGATATTTTAATGAAAATTTGTACACATGTTCTAAAAATGTCTGTTTTTAATATACCTTAGTAAAAACGAAAAACATTAACGTTAAAGCAAAAAGTTGGACATAGATTACTTTTAATGTTAGCAAGTATACCAAGTCCACTTCTTGGACTTAGGCTTATTGTATGTTTATGGACATAATATAGTCATTGGTTAATTTTATGACTTTTTATTCAAAACCTGCTACGATAATAACGTAAAATATTATCTATTACTGCTTCAAAATTTTTGTGAAAACTGATTTATTGACTTTTTTCTATAAAAACACAAATGTTCATCTAATAAAATTTATTAGAATAATTTTTATTAATACACAGTTAGTAAGTAATAGAAATAAAATACTTAAAACTTAAGTAGCTGAGCCCAAATTCCTTAACAAATGGAACTGAGCTTGAGTTTCTAAAAAATAAAAAATATTAATTTTTTAAATAATTAAAATAACATGTTTTAAAACAAATGAAAAATATTTCTTAAGTAACTGACCCTAAATTTCTACACAAATAAAAAACATCTTAGACTATTCATCACTATCGGAATCTTGAAAGTTCGTTTTGTTGGAAAATGGTAAATTTTTAAAGTAACTATGGTAAGGCGCTAAAATTGCTCCTTTACGGCAAAGAAACTGAAGATGATCATACTTCAGTTTTTTCAAAGAAATTTCCTTTTCGTAGCATGGTTTTAGTTTTAGTGAGGCTATCTCGACATCTATTTTTTTTCTTCCTTTTTCTGTGAGCTTTAATTTCTTGTAGGTAGAGTCGTAATTAACTTTAAAAAGTAAAGTGTTAGGGAAACGTGGATCAGCTTCAACTATTTTTATTTTATTTAAAAACACTCTTTCGTTTTCTTCATCTCTTTCCCAGTTAATACACGTCTTTTTTTCAAGATCTTTTAAATCATATATATTTTCCTGTGCAAGCTCAACTACTTTGTAAGGATCCTTTCTTTTAGCTGTCCTTACAACCGTATACCACTGATCTGGTGTGTATATAGGTATATTTCGAGCAGCTCTTTCTATTACGCTATGTACGCAATCGCCTTCACTTTGAGTGTGGCCTTTTTCTAAGTAGGTATGTTTTATTTTTATTTGATATTTTTGCGATAAATAGCTGTACAAAGAGTACAAAAATCTGTTGCGGTTTTGACCGCTACAGTTGTCAGAAAAGAAGCTAAATTCTCTTATTCCTTGTTCTACTTGGCTGATAATGTACAAAAGTAAACAACTTCCAATCTCAGAGGCACCTCTGTTTCCGACTACCTCATTCCACATGTAACAATTGCACTCTTTTGTTGCTAGGTTGTACACAGTAAAGTTGTAAGTTGATAATTTTAATTTGTAATAGGACAGGCCAACATTAGATTTGGGAACTGGCAACACTTGTTGCAAGTCAAAGACAGCGCAACAAACCTCACTGCTATTCTCAGCTGCTCTTTGTTTCTCAAACTGTTTGATTTCTCTTGCCCTATTTTATTTAGGATATGGATGCGATAATCTTCTTCCAACTCTAATTTTTCTTCAAGAGAACTATTATCGTAGTTGTGGCAAATATCGCAGAGATCCTTTTTGGGCTGAAAGAAGGATAGATTAAAATCTCTATTGAAGATTGTTCTATACATTGCTTCAGTTACTGTTTTCCTAATATTCTTTTCCTGACAATACTCCAGGTACATGGTATACATCTTGCTTACGTTAAGTGTTGGGGGTAAATATTTACGACTGGTCTTTTGTCTGCAGTAATGACTTTCAATTGTTTCAAATAAGTTTATGTGATCCCTAACATTTTGTTTAGTAGACTCGTCAATAAGAGTGTTTTTGCAAGCTTTTCCTCGTCTATCTTCGGAAACAATACCTGAAGTTCCAGTTTTGTTCATAACGGTTTTGACTACCTGTGCACTGATTGACAGTGTATTTAGAAAAAAAGTTTTACATATTTGCACCTTATTGTTTTCATTTTTGGGAAGAGAGTATGTAAAAGTACTGTTTCTTCTACTGTTTTTATCATTAGACAGTTCTAAGAATGTATTGTCATTCTTTTCTGGTAATTCAGCGGGATGATGCTTATTCTTTTTACGAATTCTAGTTCTAGCTTTAGAAACTACTGTAACATATTTGGATATAAAATCACGTTGGCGGTTGACATCTCCTAATCCCCAATATTCAGTAAATATTTTATGTCTTTCTTCTTCACTCATTTTATTTAGACACTTCATTCTACATTTCTCTTCACATGATGTTTTCATTTTTCTTGCTAATTGTTTTTTTCCTTTCCAGTTGGTGTATTTCTTTCCTTGATTCTCGATGACTTAATTATGTTTCTTTTCCAAGTATGTTCTCTTCTTAGCTTTTTTTTAGATATTTTTCTAGCATTTTTATTCTTTTCATCTGTGTTAGAACTTGTATCAGTTTCTTGATAATTGTTTTCAAAATTAAAGTTTTTTCTCTTCTTTTTGCTTTCTTGTGGATTAAAATTAGGGTCGTTTTCTTCATCATCAGTTTGGAAAGGATCCGTGTCCGATGATAAATACAGATCCTCTTCGACAATATTTTTCCGTTTGCCACATTTTTCAGGGTCCAATTGGTCAGTTTCTATTACATCTAGAACAAAAAGTCTCAGTAAGAAATTTATAACAAAATACCTACTTTTAAAATTGACAACGAAAATAAAAACCAAATCATTTATGAGACCAAAATTACTTACACAAACATTAAAAATAAATAAATGATTATTTTTTTAAACAGACCGGAGGTACTCACTTTCTAGACCCCAAGGATAACTAAATATTGTTGTTGAAAAGCCTCAAAAGCCTATTGTTTTTTTAGCCTTAAAACTGTTATCAACAAAACCGGAGATTTAGATATTATTTTTGAGGATACAAGTATACACACCTTATAAAACACTCTTATTATTCTATCTTCTATTAAAAAATGGGCCACATACATTTATTTGACTGAAACTCAGTATGCTTGGCCAATAATCCTATCCTAAGCAAGATGTATACCATGTACCTTGAGTATAATTGCTTGTTTACTGGTAAAGTGTTTGATTTTTAATATTACTAATTCTTTTTACTCGTTAGTTTGCTTACCTATGATTTTTTCGAGAACACTTCTTACTTCTTCACTAGCATTTGCGTCTCCTTTATCGGCCACAATCGGTGTAACTTTATTCTATTCAATACTCAAAACTGATTTTATATTTTCGAGGTTCATACTGCAAAATGCATTATCGCTCTTGTTAAAAGCAGCCGTTTCCTTAGAGAGTAAATAACCAGGCGGCATAAGATTTGCTGTATTCATCAAATATTGGGCGTCTATTTTTTCTGGTTAGTTTGTCATGATTGGTATCTATAAAAAAATAAAGTAAACATTATTCAGTACAGAGTTTTATGAGTGTAGATCGTATTATTTGTTTTTTTATTTATACAATTAAAAAAATAAATAGAATTTATCCTGAACCAGTAGCTAAAAACGTATTTCCAATGTTAACGTGTTACTTAAGAATATTTGTATAGCTAGAAAAGCACTACTTACCATCACAGTGCCTGGCCAGAAGATCAAAAATTTTTTTCCTTCTAGAACTCATATTTAATTTGTTTACGTTGCGCAAACTCGATCACTATACACTAAGAACTGCTTTAAACTGAGGTAATCTGCGTTATTCGTGTACGGTGGCGCCTTGAAATGCCTAGATTTCTAACAAGTCGAAACCAGTACAGTGCAGAACTAGTTTATGTCCACTAAAAGATGTGAGGGTTTATTAAAATTATAGATCAGAATAAGCCTAAGTCCACATTTTCTTGGACATAAAATTTTGTTTCAAAGTAGAACTAGCTTAAGTCCACACAATTCACTAGTATAGGTAATCTGTCCCAACAAAGGATACTTCTGCATTAAAAATTATTTACCCAAATATGGACATAGAATTTCTGTTCTAAAAAAGGATAGTTCTGCACTAACAATTATTTTGCTTCAGGACATAGGCTTATTCTTAATTTAATGAGTACGTGAAAAATATAAACGTTAGGACTTAGATTAGTACTGCACTTGATAGGCGACACCTTACTGCAATCATATAGTCTAAAATCTCAATTTTGACAAAAATGGACATAGGCTAGTTCTGATCTAAAGGGACGAAATATAAAACCCGCCACTCACGATCCAACGCCGCAGTACGATTTTAAGTCGGTATGATTTGACCGCAGACAAACAAGTCAGTCTGCAGCAGTACAACACTGTTGGTTGGATCGTTCATTTGATCGTGTATTGCGACGTGCGATTCCATTGTATGATTTCGGTTCGGCAAACAGCAAAACATACGTAAAAAAACCTAAATTTGGTACATTTTAATAATATGGTCTTTCTCTGTCTACGCTTATTTATAGAAATGCCTTACAATGAGAATTTTTTGAATTATATAAAAAGCAAGAATGACTTTGGAACGCCGTATGCCGTTTAAGAAACCAATTTTTACACCACCATCTACGTTTCTTATTTTTCCTTTTACTTTCAGTAATACCAAATGCAAGAGCCGACAAAACTAGATTTTCATCGGCCATGTTTCAAATCAAAACTCATACTGCAAGATCGTTACACGTGTGCCCTTGTCCAATTTTCGACAAAGTCGTACAGCAATCGCATTCGACAAAATCGTACTGCGACGTTGGATCGTAAGTGGTGGGCTCAAATGTTTTCGTCACAGCACTGGCCAGCCGACAAGTTGCTGACACTCCCGTCGCTAGTCGATTTGGAGTAAATGAAAGATGTAATGTGTGAATGGCCTAGTCCATAGTGATAATTCCGCTAACGTCCCGATCGTATCCTGAAAAAATCGTTGCTAATTCGATGAAAATACTTCTCTATTGCATTTTTTTTAAGCGATTCAGTTGGAGTAGCAGTGCTGGAAGCTAAATTAATCGGATCGCACATTACAGGTACTTTGCTTTCCATCAAAAGCTGCATTAGTTCAAACGATTCTTCTCCTTGAGCTGTATCTTGATAATTACAATTTACAGGAGTAGAGTCGCCTCCAGGTTGGCATGTTGATGCCTGTTTGTTTTTCTGTGATCTTGTTTCAAGTCTAACCTTTTTGTTATTAAGGTTTCTGTAGCAGTAACTATTACGAATATAATTCAGATGAGGAGCCATTTGTACTAACGTCGGTGATCTGGTGATTGTGGTGTGGCAATTTCTGTTTCCGGAAGATGTCAGAAATTAGAAATCAGTATTTTAGACGCGTACGGTCGAATCCAATAAAATTTAGTGGAAGATCTAGCTTCTAGGTCATTTTTTTACATTTCAGTCCAGTTGTCTAGGTCAGTGGTCGCCATCCTTTTCAGTGTGTGCTACTTTGATAATTTTGGAATAAACAGTGAGCTACCTAGTCGTAAGCAATGTAAGCCAACTTAAATGAAATTATACATAGTTGTATGCGACATACATGTGTTTATTTTACTAAAACTAATACATACTAATAAACAAACTAATAAAATTAATACATACTACATAACTACATCCATTCCTACCAATCGTAGGTGTTTGCAAAATAAACAAAATATTTCGTCAGCTAAAACGGCATGTCACATACGATTTAATAAAGGTAATTAAACACTCAGACTCACTGACAATTTTTTTAATGTTTGGAGTATAATTTGATACCGTCATTCGAATACAATTATCCAAATGTTCATCTGTAAGTCGATTACGGTATTTGTTTTTAATAAACTTCATATTTGAAAAAGAATATTAACACAAATAGGTTGAACTAGATAACCCTTTCACTTTCAAAGCAACATGACATAAAACTGAATATTTATCTTTACTTACGGAAGGCCAGATACATTTTATGCTTGAGACTAATGATTTTAAAGCTAAATCATTTTGAAACGCAATCAGTTCTATTTCTGTCGCAGCGATGTCTTCGCTAAAATTCTGCGAAACAGAAGTTGCAAACTGTTGGATATCCATTTCCATGAAGGGTGAAACAACAAATTGCGCCACTATAGCAATTTCGTTGAAATCCTTGAAACGATTTTTGAAGTTATCCTTCAAGTTAGAGACAATTTCTACATGATATTTACTGTCATATGGTTCTAATGGACTTTGAGATATCTTTCCTGAAAGAACAGGAAAATGCCTGGTATCACCATCGATTAAGTTTTGCTCCCAAAACTCAAGCTTTTTGATAAACGCTTTGATATCATAAAATCATTTCTGCTAGTTCTTTGTGCCTCCTCTGAAGCTGCAAATTAAGTTCATTTATTTTTTCTGTAATATCCACAAGAAAACCAAAATCTCCAAGCCAGTTTGAATTTTTCAGTTCCGGAATCGGTTCATCACGTTTAGTTGTTTGAAAAATTGAACTATGGCAGATATGATATCATTAAAACGTTTTTGACAGTCAGTTTCATCGGCCAGGGTTTTGAATAATCTTTGTAATGCTTGAGCTCTAATATTGTTCACAATTTTTACTACCAATTTCATAACGTTGTTTAGTTTTAGAAAATGTCCACATAATGCTTGCTGATGGATACTGCAGAGACCCATATCACGACCCACAATAGCTGGAGCGCCAACGGTTGTCAAGCCTACCACTTTCGATATTTGAATTTTCTCAGAAGAAATGATATTTTTAAAAGAAGAAAAGAAGTCCTCCCCAGTAGTCTGACCTTTTAGTGAAATAAATTCAAAAGATCTTTAATCGTACAATCACTAAAAACCATCCTGCCATCTGAGAGTCAACGACATCTGTAGATTTATCCGACTACAGTGAAAAATAAGCACAGTTATCGAAGTCATTTCTTACTGTAAAACTATATCATTGCTCATTACTTCTACTCGTCTCATCACTATATTAGCATAGATTTTATAAAAGACACTAACTCGTCTTTATTTCTAAAGTGGCCTGGTTTATCATTTCCCCGGCTTTATAAGGTTTCTTCTTTCGTGTAATTATCTGTGACACCTGGTATGATGCTTCACTTGCAGCCTTACTTTTGTCGATTGTTTTTAAAAACATTGCCTGTTGTCCAATTAACTGATGTTTTAATTGTTTTCGTTCTGGTTGCAGATCGCAATGGGAATGATTTTTCAAAATTCGAATGTACAGTTTTATAGTGCCTCTCGATATTCCCTTTTTTTAGCAACGGAAACAGATGTATTACAAAGCAAACATACATTTTTATCTCTAGCTTCTGTAAATAAATATTGTTTTTCCCATTCCGAATGGAAATGGTATGCCTTCATCTTCTTACTACTACTGCTCATAATGTCTTTAATTGCAGGCCAACCGCTGGATTTTGTGCCGTTCAGTTTTAAACTGAGCGCACTGTCGCCGTGCCTTGCGTATTTATTCCGTTCACAGTAAGCGAGATCGTTCTCGAACAGATCGCTCACTGCAGTGTTGCCGCTGCTTCTGTTTATTATGAGAAATTACACAATTTACGGAAGCTTCTATGATTTTTACACCTTTTTAAAATATGTTGTGAGCCACCAGAATTGCTTTTGTGAGCTACCGGTAGCTTCCGATCAAGGGGTGGCGACCACTGGTCTAGGTGAATACGTATAAATATGTATTTTCAACATATTTATTATAACTATCCGTTTCTAAAAACTATTGCTTAATGATAACAGATAAGGTCGGTTCATGCTTTTAAAATGTAGCCTGACAGGCTGATGAATGCTACAAGGTGCCCAATCTCTTTTCATTTATAGTTGTGACCTGTTGTAAAATATAACTGCCTATGGGAAACAGCAGGGAATTCATAGCTCATTAACAATCTGCTATTTGAAAATCGTCGTTTACGTGTTTCACAAATTAGTAGCCTTCTCACTGACAGACACGGTGTATAAGCGCCGACTTCACCGTCTCCAGATACTTCTAGTTGGCATTAAAATGGATACAACCCAAATGGTGTTCACTGGAGGTGGTGAAATCAGCCCTAAGCCAGATGAAATCATCTGAATTCATGTAGCTGGGCAAAATAAGTACTCACCAACGTCGCACTTATCACTAGTCTCTGCGACACACCGCCCTTTCGAATTTACCTTCCAGTCGTCCAAGCATGAGAGGCACGTAGTGCGATTGCACTCGCCGCACCCTGGCGGACACTCGACGCACTCCCCGTGGCGTCGATCTGCAAAATGGTGGGCGGGGCAATCGCGCACGCACCGCCCCTCGTGCCAGAACCGCCCTACTGGGCAGGACACACATTGGCTGCTGTTGCCGCCTCCGGTGCATGTTAGACAGGTCTCGTAGCACGGGGCGCAGCTGCAAACGATAATTAAATTTGTGTTAAATTGAGTTTCGATATGGGTGGCCTAACTTGCTGATTTGTTTCTCCGATAACTTCAGAATCATATGAACTATATTGGGAAAAATCCCTTAGACCCTTCGAGTGTTATTGAAAATGTGTCTTCGGTCCATAGTTTAAGGACGTCATAATTCAAATACATCTGCATGGGTTAGATACGTTTCATGATAAGTGAATGTGTTTGAAATTAATATCGACTTTTTCATTGATTAAATTTTTTGTTATTGCTAAGCACTCGTGGCGGTAATTTATAAACACGTGTCATCATCGTCTCTAGAATATTAAAACGAGATACTTGCAACTCTTTGCAACATATCATTTTTGTTCGACATTTCTCTGGAGGCGATTCAACATTATAATCACAACTCGTCAGTTGTTTATCCAAAAAATACTCCGTCATTTTGTGTCCGTCATTTTGTCTGAAAAATTTCACATCCGATTCGAAATTAGCTACCTCAAACAGTCAAAGATATCTTGTCGAACTTGGGTGCATATCATGTAAAATTGTCCACTATTTGATCCAGCTTTTTTATTTATAGATGAAGTCATAATAATTGTAATCAGCGATTTTGAAAACTCTATTGCACCAAATTTGATTGACATCAAACAACGGCTTGTATTTCTACCGCGGTTTTGGGATATTCTTACAAAAGCAGTTTTATCGAACTCACGACACTTTATGTATATTCTAAATGTTCTGTTAAATGATATGATATGATAAAATAGCGCACAGATCATCCATGTGACCGAGGAAAAAGCAATGACCACGACTACACGATTCAATCATTAGTAGAGATATTGAATTGTCGTAAGGTACTATGAATTTTTCACTTCTCTAGGCAACAACGCTTTGTTAACCTATCCTCCATTTTATATAGCAATTGTATCCACCTTGTATATTTTTTCATATTTTGAATCAGCTTGAGGCAGCAAGAATAAGCATATCTTCCTCGTCATTCATTTTCATTGAGCGCAATTGTATTTTCTACGTAAGTACAAGAAACGCAAGACTTCTTTCATATTGCACCACAATAATAGGGAGAGAGAAATAATCTTTTCCCTAAAGGTGATAAGAGAAAATCAAAATCACCGTAGAGGAAGCGAAAAAGTACATTTTATTTGATGTACCAACCTAAACATTTCAGTCTACGAACTAATTACAGGATGGCTGATCATGAATTCGTGGAAAATTATACTAGAAATGAGAGTATACTTGAAAGTCCTGTTCGTAGAAAGGATACACACAGAAACGTTGAATACTTAAGAAAACAGATCTCAAACGTTAGACAAGTTACACAATTATTTAAACATGCATTCTCTTGTTGCCTAACAACATGTCTTGTAACGTGCAATTTGATAAAACAGCTGAACATGTAATTTGGAGCAGCTTAGCATGTGACCTTATATGAACAAATATACATTTCTCAAACTCACCTGTAATCGTCTGTTTCATACGAATTTTGTGGACAGGATGCCAAGCATTTATTTTGATACAGCAAGAGATGATGATCACAACTCGTACAGTAATCTGGTCTATCTTGACAGCTTGCGCAGTTTGGTTGACATGGTATACATGTTTTATCAGCATAGCCTAAAAAGAAAAAAAAATCATCAGGCAAAGTTTGTTAAAAACATAATTCATCCAGTTTACAATGTATTTAGCAGCCGTGATATATTTCTGCTTTCTTAACAAATTGCTTCTCTACTAAAAATGCACTATCAGGATGATAATTACGTTTCCATCAACCTTGAGCAGCATCCTCTTTTGAATATGTATTGCAAGGTAATTTTACACGAAGATATAGCAACATATACCATTTTCTAGACAAAAAGGCAGATTTGGGCCTCCCGCGCCTCGTTTAAATCCGCACTAGACACTATCGGGTCTAGGGGGACGGGCCTCGGGGGGCAAACTCATGGGGCAAATTCCATTCAAATTAATGATTATTCAATTCTATGTCGTGTTCTAAATGTTGTGGCAAAAGATGGTTTTTTATTTTGAATATTAAAATAAGAACCAAATATGATATGAAAATTTTATATTCAATCATTGCATTCTTTTTGCTGTACTTATTTTTATTCAATGTTATTCTCATAGCTTTATTTTGCAGGACTTGCAATTTGAGAATACAGCGTCATTGACAGTGAACAAGATAGTTGAACAATATAGTAAATATAGTAAGTTTTTATGCAATTTTTGAAATCATGTATTCATAGTGATCCTCAAACTTTATTTAGTATTCCATCAATATATGTATATATACCCGAATATTTAAATGATTGAACATTTGTTATTATTCCACTATTTATCGTGTGATAGTATTCATTTAGGTATTTCCCTATTAACATACACTTTGCTTTAGAAGCATTCAATTTTAGTTTATTTACATTTAACCAATTTATGATTTTTGCCAAGTCAGAATTTAGCATTTTTAAGCAGTGTCTATACTTTCATCTATATGTATATTGACGTATCATCTGAAATATCTGAATTTTACAATAATCTAAAATATTATAAATGTCATTAATGTATAAAATAAATAGTAGTGGACCTAGTTTATTACCTTGTGGTACACAAACAGAAATATTTTTTGAGCTTGATAATGTAGGTTCAATTTTGGTTTTTTGACTTCTGCCAATTAAGTAGTTATGCAGAATTCTGATTACAGATCCTTTAAATCGATAGTGATGCAATTTTGTAAGAAATTTATCCCTGTCAATAGTTTCAAACGCCCTTTTGGACCCCAAAAATACTGTCACTGTATGTTTCCTATTGTATGCAATGCAAGTCCTCTAAAACCATTTGTATTGCCGGTTCAGTTGAGTGAATCCAGCTTGAAGTTTGATTGAAATTCAGTGTACAACTCAGAATTCTTAACTTTCTAAACAGGAGTTATGGTATAAAACTTCAGTTTTGTTGGAAATTCGTCTTATTGTAAACCGTAATAAATAATAATATAGAGTGATAATTGGAAAAGCTAACCACAGTTTCAGGAACTGTATCAATAGTGCTGGTGGGCCTAGGTACTGTTAATTTTTCCTTCGGTTCTACAAGTGTTGAATAGTTACAACTGGAATTTCAGTTCAACAAGTGTAGATTTGATTAACATACAAAAGATGAATTATTATAACTCACTGTGATCAATGAATTTTGGGTAGAATCTCAGGAATTTGCTATTAGTAGAAGCCTTGTAAACAGTTATGCAAATTCCTCATCCTCCGGAAGCTAAGTACGAGCCAGGTTATCCCTTAATCGCTATACATAATTTTAAACTTATTCTGAGTTGTATGATTAGGGCAAATATGTTCCGCAAAATCAATCAAGGGAATATCGAAATTTTATATTTTTATAGAAGGTACAATCCCAGCGCGTTCTGTCGCTTTAATGGATGGTCTGCCTCTTTTTCAAGAAATATGATGGTATTTCATTGAATCATAACGGAAATTAAACAGAGGTTCGATTGTGCTATCATGCTAAATTTTAATTTTGCATTTCTCAATGGTATTGAAATTTAGGAAGTCTGTCAATTAAGTGATGAACACTAATTTTTTTTTATCTAAATATAATTACATAATTAGAATTTTTTTTGTCACCCTCAAACCGACTTCCTTATGAAGCCACACGGTGCTGGAGACGGATCTTCCACTGCTCACAAGTGCTGGAACTAGAATACTCGAATAGCCTTCAGCTGGTTGATTACATCCGTTTGAATGTCCCAAAATGATTTCCCTTGAGGTATTTTTTTAAGTTCGGGAAGAGAAAAAGGACTCAAGTCAGGCGAATAAGGAGGCTGACGAGTCGCAGCGATGTTTTTACTGGCCAGAAACTTGTTTATTGGCATTGCTGCCACTAAAGGCGCGTGTTACATGAACATAACTTTCATGCAAAACATATACCTTACAATTTATATATTTTTTGCTAAATCGATATTACGTAGACTTGAATACATCTACAGGGTGTTTCAAACTTATTCGTCAAATTTTAACCACATATGCATTGTTACGAAAGAAGTTGATTTCTCAAAAAAAAATGTAATTAAGTTAGAAATCTGAGTTTCAATAATAAATTGAAAAATAACTATTTGTTTTTCATATTCATAAGAACGCGTAAATAAGGTTTAATCTCTATCGTGGGTGATCTGAATGAAAAACGGTCGATTTTTGTGAAGTTAAACAAGAAAGTATTTTGCGAGTTTATGTTTTTAGTTACTTATTAATAAAAATGGCACATGTGTACACTAATTTGGAGTTAGTGGACATTGTTTTAGCGTACGGAGAAGAACGACAAAATTCGCGAGCGGCTTCTCGTTTGTATGCACACCGATTTCCGAATAGGCACATACCACATCACGAAACATTTAGTACAATTGTTTTACGTGCACGTGCTAGTGGAGATTTGCGCCCCAGACGTGGAGTGGATGGGGGTCGGATTCGCCCACAACGCGTTTTAAATACCGAAAGCGAAATTTTGGATATTGTGAAAGAAAAGCCGGGAATAAGCACAAGGCAGTTAGCCCAACAGGTCCCAGAAGTGTCACATGCAACAGAGTGGCGCATATTACATGAGGCTCAACTGTACCCTTATCACGTCCAGAGAGGCCAGGCGTTGCCCCCTAAGAGTAAGATTTTGTGTGTGGTTGTTGCAAGAATATGATGATTTGCTCGAAATGACCGTTTTACAGCTGATATTTCGGCCACCGATGAAGCTATTTTTACTCGTAATGGGATAACTAATCTTCATAATACACACGTTTGGTCCTTTGACAATCCTCAGGCAGTGGTCCAGACACACTTCCAGCATCGTGTTTCTTTAAGTGTCGATGAACGTGTAATTGGACCGTTCATAATCCCAGATCGGATGGATGGTTACCAGTATTTGGAATTTCTTCGGAATGATTTGCCGGTTCTTGAAGATGTGCCATTGGCGGTCCGAGCGCGGAAGTGGTCCAATTGCATGGCCTCCACGGTCTCCCGATCTAAATCCTCTGGACTTCTTTTTATGGGGATACTTGAAAAGCGAGGTATACCGTATTCCAGTTCAGAATATCGAAGAATTGCGTGACCGAATCACAGTGGCTGCCGATAATTTGAGCCTTCAGGCACAGCAGGAAGGAGGTGTGTTTGAACTAGTGCGCCGAAATTGGATTAGACGCGCCCAAGCTTGCATTGCAGACAATGGAAACAATTTTGAACAGCTTTTATAAGTAAGTGAACTGTTAAACTGTATTATCTTATTATCTCGATTTTTGTAGGACTTTTATAATATTTTGTTTTTCGAGAAATCAACTTCTTTCGTAACAGTGCATATGTGGTTAAAATTTGTGGGATAAGTTGTGAAACACCCTGTATATCACATTATTTATGTTATCTCTAACTCCATAACTCAGTTGAGATGTAAGGATTATTTACATCTTATAGTTATACAATATGAATGTTTGTTCGTTATACTACATATCATCTCTAGATCAACAAATTCTATCAATATTCGTGGTGGGTACTGATGTTGCCGGATTGACGTAAGCTAATATTGACATTTTATATTAATAGTTTACTATAATATTGTTTGCCCAAGAAATTTTGGGAATTATTACTTATTCCAGTGGCAGTATACTTCTATTATGTTTCTTATGCATCATCAAGATGCATTTTAACCTTTTGGTGTCAGACTTAAATTAGCATCGTTTTTGAATATTGTTGTGAATACTTCACACTTTGATTGTCATGTTTATTTAATATCACTGCTTAAAAAAACGATAGTTCATTGAACACAAGGTAAAATTTGAACATATGGCCAAACAGGTAAGGCATTGGTTTGCTATTGATTTGTGTAGTTCTCAGCTGCTGATGTTTTATGTTCGTGATTTGTTAAAACACCTAAAATTCGTGATGGTCCTTTTCGGCGTGGTGATTTGGCGCAAAAGGTATATTTTTGTGAGTTATACGTAGCTTCAGGTGTAAAAATGTGATAAAGAATATACTTGCATCGTTATACGTCCAGGTAGGAATATTTAAAATACTTTACTTCAATCACAATTAGATATTATAAATAACAGTAGACAATGTGGAAAAGCTATCGGGATTCTGACTGAGTAACTAGAGAATAAAGATGAGTCGGGCAGCTTGATTAAGTTTATAAATAATGATACTACTTTCTATATAGATATATTGAATTATATACTTATGTATTCAGAATTTTCTTGTTTGGCTAGTACCAATATATGAATTGTCTTAATTTCGCATTCCATCTTCTAACATAATTTACTTTAAATTTTTTTCTTTGAGACTGCTGTGCAAAAAATTTCCACTCATCCAAGCGACTGATGCGAATCTTTGTGACTTTACCTTTCATATACACAAATTAACATATGATATGTAGCATATATGCTATCACAAAAGTAATTTTTATTTTTGTAAGTTTATGACACAGTCTGTATACAAGTTTTTAAGTAAATTGCTGTTAATAAAATTCCCGATACTCAACCTGCAATTGTCTTCTGATTCTATTTCATTCAAGTGGTCAAAAAGCAATACCACAGAATTTATGGAGAAAAGTAAACTAACGTTTCGAATACTTTGGTAGTATTTTTTTTAAATCTCCTATACTCCAATTTTTATATTTTGTACTTTGAAGAAGACTACCGAGGTAGCCGAATCGCTCGTAAGGTTTTCTATCAATTCTGTGGTCTTATTTATTAGCCAGTTGAGTGGTCAAAACATACCAGGAGAGTCACAAATTTGGTAGTTTTTCGTTGGGCCACCCTGTATGTCCTACACGTTCATATGAATGTATGTTATTTCTAAATGAATAAGCTTAACACCGAAAGAGAAGGGCGGGGACAGTATTCTTCAGTTTTTCACCGCCTCGGATCTGTGTGTAGATTCAGTTAAAATGTTTTAGATGGGTACATACTTTCATAATAGCCCTCAGGGCATTGCTGCAAACAAATATCCAGGTCAATAACTCTGACATGCCCAGGTGAGCAAGTGAGACAACTTCTTTGGTCTGGCCCCGTGCAGGTTTCACAGGCTTCATGACATGCTTGACAAACGCCTTGGCTGTCAGCATAGCTTCTTGGTGGGCACACCGACACGCATGTTCTGTAAGAAAAAGATAGATAAACTCTAGTGAAATCATGATTATTCCATTATCTAAGTCAATTTAACGAAACTATCATGTTTAGCAAGTTCATCCCAAACAAGGATTAACATTGATACAAGCAACTGTAGCAGTTCTGCTGTCTGTGACCAGCAATGTATTTGGATTTTTAAATTATTATTTTGTGTGTACAGATTCCGATAGATAGGTCCTCCACTCATTTACTTTTCAGACTCGATCGGTCGCTCCGTATATGGAGGACCTGGCGCAACTGGCAGACTCAGCACTGCTTTGTGTATATATGAGTATTCTGCATTTTCTCTTTCTAGATCCTTTAGGCTTGAAGTACCACGGCAAGTGGCTATAAACGGCCGCGTGGTTGTGTTTAGATGTCGCCTTGAAAACTCGAGGTCTTCCAGCCATTTTATACAATAATATGTAGGTTGGCACTTGTTATGGACTTCGTGTATAATTTTTTCCCTCTCCATCTTCGTTTCCTCACGTTACACCCATAACCGGATGTATGGGCATGTGTATTTACTTTTGTAGTTGCATATGTGCATTCATTTCGGGCCTGATGAAGCCTGCAAGCAGAAATACGTATTGCTCGGGTTACTTATCCTATTTTCTGTTCGAATCCACTTTCCTTCTTTTTGCGGATTTTGCCCATTATTTTCCTATTTTTTGTTATATACCATATATATATATATATATATATATATATATATATATATATAGTCTTCTAAACAACCAGTCAGCTGAGAAAAGATTCGGCCTTTAGTTGGGTACTTGGACAAGATTAAATCAATGAGGACTCTTTTTACTTTATTATCTCAAGATTTCGATGAACTATGCCATCATCATTCGTTAAAAATAGAAAAAAACACATAGCTGTAAGTCAGGAACACATCACAACGGATTAACAATTTTAGGGGTGAATGTTAAAATTTTAACAATATTACATCGTTGAACATGTGGTTTTTCATTAGTTCGTAAACTGCATGTTATGTGGTCCTGTATAAATATTGTACTGTCTTTAATGTAAATGTTAACATACATCTTGCGATTTTGTTTGCAACCTTTGATCCAACTTTTCTTGTAATTGTCGTTCACAGTTTGTGATGATGATCCCTGAATGAAGTTTATTATTATTGTTGTTGTTGATATTCTTACAACGGTATTAAAGATTACTCAAAAGCTAGTAATCAGTACGAAGGATTAAAGAAATATGTTAAACAGTGAAAAAAACTCACTTGTCCATCCTTTTATTTTTGCAAGCGATGCACTTAGCGGGGCCTCTCCCGAAACATCCCTGTTCATCACACTGTTCGTCACATCCATCCCTGGACTGCTCGTCGTCCAGATCTAAGTCCACTTGATTATTCTGACTGTTGTTGTCACGCACTTTTTTGCCGTCCAACGAACTCACTATGGGGTCTTGATCGGATCCCGAGAACTCGTACACGTTAGGAAAGTTCTGGAAGTTTTTAAAGTAGTCGGAAGTATCAAAGAAGTTATTTGAAACCTGCAACAAGTATAAGTCGAAGATTAAAAAATGCGTTAATATCACTTGACGTTTCTAGAACCATATTTAAAACCGTAAAAAACTGTTCTTATGCCAGGACTTTCAACGACAACCCTATATAAGTACATAAGTCAGGAGATTGTTATGCTTTAACGACGATCATAATGGCTCCTCAAACAGTCGCTTCACAAAATATTTGGTTTCGCGTTATTGTCATAAAACATCTGAAGGGATATTGTATCATACATAGTTAACATTAATCTTCCTATTTGACTGTTTCAATCACAACACATTTTTAAGTATAATAAATATGACTTTGTTGGCCAGTCCTTCGGATGGGTTAAATTATTTTTAACTATTAGAAAACACTATGTTTCCATCAACCATATCAATACAAGAAACCATATCAGAAACATTACATCGGAATTATCAAATATAGATGTTGGGGTCTCTTAAGGCTCGATCTTGCGCCCAATCTTCTTTATTTTCTACGTAAACAAATTTGGTAGTGTCGCTTCTGGAGAGGTATTTGCAGAATTTGCCAACGATATCTCCATTTTGATGTTTGGTATAGTGGTTTAAGTTCTGGAAGTTAAATGCAACAATCTAATTGAGAAACCTAATAAGTGGTACTCCAACCGCTCTCTGTATTTCAATCCATCTGAAACAAGCCTAATGTGATTTCATCACGCCCATAAAAGTGCTAGGGAAATAGATGTTGGATTGGGTGGGGGAAAAACTTCTCTTTAATGGCAGCGTCAAATTCCTCGGACTCGACATTGACCCAAACCTTAGCTGGAAAACTGACAGTGAATCCTTAATTAGTAAATTGAATTCTCAAAACTATGTTCTAACAATTAAAAACTGTACCTCCAAGACAACAACTAATTCATATTATACAAACGTCGACTCTAGGCTGATGCGGTGTATGCTTTCGGGATAGATCAATTTATGTATTTATTGTATGTATGTATAGAGTCTACTAAAAATACTAGTTAAAGAACTCACCTTTATCACGAGAAGTTTCAAAAAACTAGATCATTTTAATTAATATCGCTGGGCGGCAAACGTTTATAAGACAGTGACACATCCCTGGAAATATTGGTGAGACGAACAGCACAATCTGCACCATTTTCAGCCATTTTAAATTTACTACCAAAGGAAACTGTCAAGCTGTGTCAACTTCAGGACCAATAAAAGTAATATTTCAACTGTGGCTTCACGCTATACTGAGAGTTGCTGCTGCTGAATTGATATATATGCATGATGCCGAAGAAAAAAGTTAAAAACCAGATCTCAACGGAAAAATCAGATACAATGGAAGTTTGCATTGATGGAAACTTGGACACTCAGAAGATTCTAGAAGAAAATAAACACTTAAAACAGATATTAGAAGAAAAGGATAAACTAATACTACAGTTGAGCAATGAAAATGGAAGACTACAAGAACAGTACAATTTAGCGACATCAGCCATACACGAAAAAGGTACCGTTGAAACAGTGATAAATAAAATAAATCAAAGATTGACTGAAATTGAGAAAATTAAAGAGAAATCATATGCCCAAGTACTAAAGCGAGATACTCCAACAATCAAGAAAGACCCAATGAAGAACATAATTGTCACACCAAATGGTATCCAAACATCTGAACAAACGAGAAAAGACCTTAACAAAAAAATTAGCCTTACGGATTTGAAAATACAAATAGAAAATATACGAAATTCTAAAAATGGAGGAATTATAATTAAACTGGCTGAGGAACACCACAACACACTCAAAACTGCATTCGAAAAGAAATTAGGAGATGAATACAAAATCACAGAACCTACAATGTTTAGACCGAAGATCAAAATTGTCAATTATAGATGCACAGAGAAACCACATGAAGAAGACATAGAATTAGATCTTATCCAACAAAATCATTTTATTGAAAAAGATGACATCAAAATCAAATATGTAAAGTATCTCCCATCGAAAAAATGTTACACATTATTTGCAGACATTTCTGGCAAATTATTCAGGACAATATTTGAAGATAACAATGGAAAAATTCTTCTTGGATTTCAATGTTTACCAGTGTATGATAATAACGAAATAACGCAATGCAAGAAGTGTCTTCGCTTCAACCACACCGAGAAAAAATGCCGCAATAACAAGACCTGTACCAACTGCAGCAAAGAGGATGTACACGATACTGACTGTTGTAAGCATGAACCGGTTGTATGTTGTAATTGCAAATTTTCAAACTATAGATATAACAAAAATTATAGTACCAACCACTCACCATTAGATAAAAAATGTCCAACTTTTCTATATTATCAGCAGCAGTACAACTTGAAAATCCTTTTTTAAGAAAGAAGAAATTTTAGCCAAAATTTTAGAATATTGCATCATTTATGACACACGACTATGTAAATAACTTCCAAATTCAACGTATTAGTACTAATACTGCTCATGATACTAGCGAGCTAGATTCTTTTTTACAAAATCCTGAAATATCTGTTAGAATTTATCATATGAACATCAGAAGTATAAAACATAACTTTGACTACTTTAAATTAATTTTGAAAAGAATACAAAGTGATATAGATATAATCATTCTATCCGAAACATGGCAAGTGGGCGATGTGACTCTGTTTCATTTAGAAGGGTACGATACATTGTATAATTTTGGTAACCATAATCAAAACGATGGAGTGATGGTGTATGTACGAAACAATTTGCCTTATAACCATACCATATTTACAATCAACAATGAACTAAAAGGTATCAATCTAACAATGCAAATTGAAAATCGTAGAGTCAAAATTACTTGTGTTTACCGACCACCATCTTCAGATCCTAATACATTTATAAGAGACATAGATGAACTATTAAAAAACAAGGAAAACAATCACCTTCATAATCAAATATTTATAGGCGACATCAATATAAATATTTTAGAGGAAAATTCTATGGTAAAAGAATATTTAAACACTTTATCAAGTAATGGTTTTTTATCATACATAAATAAAGTAACACGACCCACCAGTAAAACCTGCATTGATCACTGCTTTATAAAAGATATTTCCAATATTTTTTCTTACATGCCTATTATCTATGAAACCGATATTACAGATCATTATTCCACTGTATTATTGATATCTTCACAAAATAAAAACCAGAACTGCCCAAGGGCAAAAAATGAAAGAAACCTTGAATACAAATATTTCACTGACAACTCAAAATTAATATTTAACGCAGAAACGGAATCGTGGGACGAAATTTTTTTAACAAATTCTTTAGACGAAGCTACAAATTTATTAATACACAAAATTCAAAAAGTAATTGAAGTTAGTACTAATAAGGTTAAAATAAGTCACAAGGAAAAAAGCAGAAATGATTGGATGACCAAAGGACTAATAAAATCTGCAAACGAAAAAGAAAGACTGTATAAAATCATGAAATATTTACCCACGAAAGAAAATATAGATCATTATAATCAGTATAAAAACAAATTTATAGAACTTTTGAGAAAAGCAAAAAAAAATTACTATATAAAACAATTGAATAATAATTCACATGACTCTAGACACCTATGGTCCACTGTCAATGATATATTCAATAAGTCATCCTATTTAAAAAACAATATTAATGAAATAAAAACAAAAACAGGACAGAAAACAGACAATATTCAGCAAATATGTGATGAGTTCATAGAATTTTTCACGAATATAGGAGGAAACTTAGCAAATAATATCAAACAAAATGCTGATATTCATCTGCATGAAACAAGACTGAATAATTCATTTGTATTAACTGAAGTAGACTATCAGGATGTTTTCAATGCCATTATGACTCTAAAAAATAAAAAAAGCCCTGGCGTTGACGAAATTAGAGCTGAACATCTAAAGATACTGGCCAAACAAATAACAGAACCACTTGCTTATATCATTAACAAATCCTTCCAATCTGGAGTATTTCCATCAGCTTTCAAGACAGCAATCATCATACCTATCTATAAATCTAATGATAATACGGACGTCACTAACTATCGACCTATTTCACTTATATCAAATTTAGCTAAAGTTTTTGAGAAATTACTCCTTAATAAAATGATTAATTTTCTTAATAAATTCAAAATTCTAAATTCAAATCAATATGGTTTTATAGCGGGCAAATCTACAACAGATGGGGTATTAAGTATAGTAGATGAAATAACCCAAAATATAGATGGAAAAGTACCATCGATATGCGTATTTGTGGACTTACAAAAAGCGTTTGACACAGTTAACCACAATATACTTTTGGAAATCTTAGAAAGAATAGGTTTTCGTGGAAAGATGTATACTTTAATGGAAAATTATTTATCAAATAGACCGCAATCAGTAAAATTATTAAGCTCGTACAGTAAAGAAATGTTTGTTAAATGTGGTGTTCCACAAGGTACAATTTTGGGTCCTCTGTTATTCAATATTTATTTAAACGATATATTCAAAATTAACAGTACTGGTAAAATAGTCAGTTTTGCAGACGATACTGCTATACTCTATAAAGGTAAGGATTGGAACGACTTAAAAGATATTATCCAAAATGACTTTTGCAAAATTATTCAGTGGTTTAATAACCGAAAATTAACAATTAACTTTACTAAAACTCATTTTTTACCATTTTCATCACTATCTAATCATCTACCAAAATATAACCACCTTCGGTTTAAGGTAAATGATAAAAATATAAAAATCAATAGAGTTAATGATACAAAATATTTAGGAATTTATCTAGATCCCCACTTGAGATGGGATGTACATATTTCTCACATACTAAAGAAAATTAGATTCATAGCATATAAAATAAAATTTCTAACCGGTATATTAACTGAATATTATCTACGAATAATATATCAAGCTTTAGTCGAGCCACACATAACATATGGTATAGTAGTGTGGGGTGCTGCATGCCCGACATACTTTAACGATTTAGATGTACTTCAAAGAAGAATTTTAAAATCAATGTTAGGCAAATCAAAATTATACCCAACTAATGACTTATATAATGATGCACAAGTATATGATACTAAACAACTTTACTTCTTACATACCATCACGCATTATCACAAAACTATTAGTGAACACGACATAATTAAACATAATCATAAAACCAGATATAAATTACGCGCAAAAAATGTTCCTAAACCAAACAAATCCCTAATGAAACGATGTCACCTGTATATAGCTCCAAAATTGTACGAACATTTACCAAATAATTTAAAACAATTACGCAATACACTAGGCTTCAAAAAAAAATTAAAAAAATTTATTAACACGATTGGGAGAAATCAAATTAATAAAATAATCTCAAATATTACACAATAAATGCTCTACCATTCTTACCAATAATTTCTTTTTTCTCTCTATTTTATTATATTTTGCAATTCAACATACATATGATCCATGCACAGGCGTTGTCCTCCTATGGATATATTATATTTATTTACTCGTTTCATGTTCCCTGTATTTTAGAGTAAATAAATATTATTATTATTATTATTATTATTATTATTAGGAAGATGTCTTTTTCGTTAAAAAAAAATGTATCTGCTCTATAAGCAGGAATTCCTCCCAGTTGTACATACTATTTTATTGATTTGAGGATTTTAATGGTCCTTTGTCTAGATTTGAGATGTGTTTATATGTTTCCATATATCGAAACAAATTTAGGCAAAACTGTGATATTCATAGTATAGCGTTTTTTCTGGGATCTTTGAGGCGTGGATTAAAACACTAGATTCCACAAAAAGAAATGCACTAATTTATTTAAAACAAGACAACTAACTTTAACTTAACTAGATAGAACATTTATGTACACCACTATTTCTGTCCGACTACTAATTTACGAATTATTATGTCGCGCCATTCACTCAACTCTCCTCCCGGCTGTCGGCTTATATATTCCGTATCGCAGGTACTCGTTAGTTCGAGAAGGTTCCGGTATGCCACATAGCGGCAGTCCAGAACCTTCGGGGGGGTCTTCGATCTCGAAGGAGAGTGCCTGACGCGGTCCCCAACAGATGTCGCTAGTAGTATCACTCATTCTTGTTACAGTAGTAATAAATGAAACTGTAATATGTATGTTGCACACAGATATTGTCAAATCTGATGTGTCCAAATAACATAGGCTCTCTACTCTTTAACAAATTGCCGGACCCATAAAACGTTGTACAAGTGTGCCTCAGTTCAAATACAGACTGAAACAATTTTCAATTGAAGCGCTCATGACTATTTAAACATTTTGCGTTAGATTCGGCCTAATTAATATGTAAATGTCTGATATATGACTGACTATTTCAATAGAACTATTGTACTTAATAATTGGCAAATTTAAAACGCACGCATGTGTTCTGAGGTAAAAAATACTGGAGTTAGCATTAAAGTTTTAAATAATTGCAAACTTGTTACCTGCGGAAGAGGTTGTGGTTGAGTAGGGAAAGCGATATTATTCAGAGGTGATTTCCAAGGCGTGGATCTCGCTCCATTTGGTGTCCTAAGTCGTACTGGATTAACGGAAGTGCCGTAGAAGATTAACTGCCACTTCTTCAGTATTCCTGGTTGATTGACGTGGCGATTTCCTGCGTTAACGATCTGTAAACAATTGAATATGATCGTAAAATATAAAAATAATAACAGGCAAAAAGAAAGATAGCCCGAAAATCAAAAATAGATTTTTTTACCTGGAGATGCCACCGCCCTTCTGCCTTTTCTCCCCAATAGTGCACGCTGAGGAAGGGCCAATCATCGAAGTTGGAGCTAACCACATCCCTAGGTCTTTCGAATAATAACGTAGATGTGGTACCCATGGGCGACGTAAGTTGGATGCGCAAGTTACCTCTTGGAAAGAACCTCAAAGATATTTTGCACTGCACATGCTCCAAAAAGCGGACTTCGTTAAGGGTGCCACCACAAGCGTCGACGTCCATGTAGAAGTCTAACGTCGTACCTAGAAGGTAAAAACAATTTTTGATCTCTCTAGTGATATAGTTTTCTTAACTTATCAAAGTCGACCAAAACTTGAGTAAACTTCTTTTATATGGAACCCCTTCTATGTATTCTATATCAACATCTTAGAAAATGTACAAAGAAAATTTCTTAAACATTGCACTTATGAAATTGATGGTAGATCAGTTAGAGAAATCTGAAATTGCCTTAGTTTTATTTGTACTCACCATAAGCAGGATTAATTGATTTATCTTCTATGAGTTCCTGACTCTTACAAATGTGTTGAGGTGGTACAGTAGTCCATTTTTCAGCTAATGTCACCAGTGCACCAGCGTCCATCAATCCGTAACCGAATTTGTGGGAAACCTAAGAAGGTATTTAACGATTTTTTATTAAAAAATGCTAAGCAGCTCAAATATATTTCTTTTTATTAATATATATTCCGATATAATATTGAAAAAAGTATTCAAGCATGCTTAATGACCTTTACATGACTGTATTTTTATCTTGTCTATATATTGAGGTATATGGAAATTATTTGCAAAAGGATTTTGCTTAATGTACCTTTCTTCGAACTCCGTTCACCACCCAACCACTTTCTTTCTCGAGCGGTTGTGGTCTCGACGTAAGGACCACAAGGTACTGCATGTCTCTCCATGTTAGTGTTGGGTTTGCTTCCAGTGCTAATGCACAGATGCCAGCAGCTAAAACCAGTTAGAGAACATTAAACAAAAATAATAAAACATATTATAAAATAGTTGCTTCTGGAAAACTATATTTACGTCTTAGAAGAAAAAAAAAATGTTCCGTCTCAATTCAAACCACTTTGACAGATTTAACAATGAATTGTTATTACAAAAACTGAGTTATACAGGTCTTGATACACTATCCGTACATTTGTTCAAAAGTTATCTTCAACGTGTGTCAGTGAACTAAAGAATGACGTTTACGTCATTTATACCATTAGGAGTGCCACCAGGCTGGGGCCGTATCCATTTGACTTACACAAAATTCCCAAAAATTCTCTTATACAGTCTTATGCAGATGACACCCTGTTATTACGTTGATTTAATCCTGTGGAAGCCTCCAATATTAGTGAAATTTTACAACGCCTTGATAAACTCGAATCATAACTTAAAGGTATTAAATACATAATCATTTTGATTTGTAATGAAAAAAAGAAAAGCATTGTTTTTCCTCACTTAAAACTTACTAAACACAATCAAATGTTAGAGTTCATGCATTGTGCTAAAACTTTTCGTATGATTTTTGATACCAAATTGAGGTTTATTGAGCATGTAAAGACTATCTGTTAAAAAACTTATTCTAGGTTACGTACTCTAATAGTTCATCATATTAAATTACAAATTACGTAAAAAACTGTATGAGACTTTAACTATATCTATCTTGAATTACAGTAATATTGTCTATATTCAATCATTAGATCATTTTACTGAAAATATTGTTCAGGTGATTCAAAATAATTGTATGCGGTTTATATTCAGATTGCGTAAATCTGACCACGTTCCAGCTGAACATCAGTACTAAAACGGATGAAAATGAATGATTCGTCGTCTCACAGAGAAAAATTCTTTGATAAGGATATACATGACAGATGTCTAAGAAACAAAAATATTCATATATTATAACATCCCTCAACCTCCGATTTACATATAATGTCGCTTTCCGTGTTCGGCAAAACAGTTAAACTTCTGTTTATTTTATTAATCGTCTGATCATGGATGCAACATGAATAATTTTTAAATACATTCATTGTAGCTCTATTATTATGGTTTGTGAGTTTTCTGTTTTAGAAATGTCTGTATTACTACCACTTAACGCATGTTGCGGACTAATTGGTTAAGTGTAACGGCCTGGCCACAGGACATTCGCCATAGCGTATATTCGCACGGTGCGAACGGCGAAGCATCCAGCGACTAAAATACGCATAGAAATGTACTTGTCAAGCCACACACACCAATAGTGCAGTGATCAAACGAGTTTAGTCTTTTTCGCCGCGAAAAATAAATACCCCGGCTTTTATTACTGAAATACTTGCTAGGCCCGCTATTTGGCAGCTTGGCCACCCAAATGACATAAACAAATAACATAATTATTTATAGGGTGACATTTAATTAGCTAACCATATTTTGGGCAATGATAGTTGCAAAAAAATTTAGTTCCGTTTACGACCATATGTTTTTTGGGGTAAGTTGTTCATATTGATGGGTGCTATCATTCCACAATAATCTAAAAACAATTTTTCAGTGGCACTTAAAATTCTATCTGCATTGACTTTTTTCCAATTCTAGTTACATATTAATTAGAATATAATCGAAGGTTTCGATACTCATTCTGGTATACTCGAAAAATGTTTCTGGATACATTCTGTATTTCTCGTACTTCTTGTGTAATTCTCCATATCTACCCCGATTCCTAATCAAATCATGTAATCTTCCAAATATTATGTCTTGAAACAAAAGCTATTACTTTCTAAGCAATATCGAGATAACGTTGATAAAGACATTTTTATCTCGACCTATACTGGTTGCGGCGGCGAACGTTACTGTCCGTGGCCGGCAAACTGTCCCGTGCGGATGGTCGCCCCTATTCCCGCATCGTCGTTGCGCCGCCCATCCTCGTGACCAACCCGTAAGAGTAGCAAATGCTAAACTCCGCCAATCAGTCCATTGAAATTTTGTAATTCTGTTTATAAAGGCGTCAATTATATTCCTATTTCGAAGGTAAATCAAAAACACTGCATTCTATCCAACAGAGGGGCGCTAGATCAAATTCCAATATTTCCAAGAATTATAACCCCTATACTGAGAGTTAGAGGTAATGCAACACATCGTAGTTGTATTTACTGATGTGTGAATGAATCTTACCAAGTGGTGCTGATGCAGACGTTCCAGTATGTTCAACAGTACATATATGGTCAGGTCGCAATCTAGCATCCATATCTACTGTAGCAACACTTTTGTCATGTCCTGGAGTACCTGAGCTATAAGTCGTTGCTAATGTTGAGGAGCATTCTTCCAAGTACCATGGTTTATAACTGTAAACATAGTGAAATATAGTTGGTCTATTCTAGTAGTAAGCTTCGTAATAAATTTGGCGGGAGAGACATTCGAGCTCCTTCCAAGTTTCATCATTATTTGCTAGAAATGGTGGATGTCCCAATGATAGATCATACGTATTTGCGATTCTCCTCGCAAAATATACAATTTTACAATTTGGTTTTCGTACTCAAAAAGAAAGATATGCGTATTTTAATCAAAATGATTCAAACGGCATTTTAAGGGATGGAATTTTGTTTCCTCTTCTTGTCGATGCAAAGATCGTGAATATTTGATTGTTTTAAAAGTATCCTAAATTCAAAATTTGACACAGAAGTAGTCTATCGAATTGAGACAGCACAAGGTGCCATCTACTACTAGAATCGACTACTACGAAAGTGAAAACAGCAAGCTGTCTGTTGGAACTGTATGCGTTCTTTTTTCAATTCAATAATTTTGAATGTTATTAGTTTTCTAGTTCATATTGGTCTGCCTATTTTGGCATATGGGAAGCCACATTGACATATCGACAATATAGGTTGAGCTGCTATGATATGAATAATAACTATAATTGGTATCGGCCGATGCGAAGCCTCACTTTATCTTTTGCTGTAAAAACCATGCAAAATCGTTAAAGGTTTATCAAAAAGACGAAATATGCTATTTTTATTTTATGTCAAAACAATTTTAACGAGGTACCCAGCTACATTCTTCGAATATTCAGTATCTAATAAATGGTGAGAGAGTCAGTCAATTTACTATCAAGTGTAGCATGGTGAGAGCTCCATTCTTGTTAAGAATGATAATATCGATGAGCCTCAGGAAAAAAATCTCTTTTTTAAATTATCTAGCATTTTTGGAGGTTTTTGCTCATTTTTTATCCAATTCGTGATGTAAATATATCCCAGGTGTAGAGATAATGTTTGAGAAACATTTTGTACATAATTCGTCCTTGCTCAATGGCAACAAATCATATCGATGCATGCTTTTGAAAATGTAGCCAGATTAGGTAGGGTTGATCTATTACCAATGTTTCGGCCACCTTGCCAATTCACAGTGACATTTAATACATTTGCTCACAAAGGTATTTCGATTAAATAGTTGAAGAAACTGACTTTTGGAGTTGTAGGTATGATCTCTATCAATACCAGATTATAAACACGCATATGATAATCTGGTCTTTATTTTACCAAATAAACTATTTATTATTGAAATGGACATGTTTGCTTTCCGTCTCTGTAAGCATGACCAACAGCAGACAGCGCTGTTTCATGCTCATTATCAACTCACCGGTACGGTATGGGTCTAATTATGCTCGAGACCGATGAACGGAAAGCAAACAAGTGGATATGGTCGACTCAAAAACTCAATATACGAGTACTGTGCGGAAGTATATAACTCATGAGTGCGGTATAGGTCTAGTAGTCGTGGAGACAGGGAACGGAAAGCAAACAAGGTATGGTTGTTTGAAACTTGGCAAACCATTAGTAGGTGGAGATCGACAGATTTTTCGCCTAACTGTGCATAACCTATTAATTTCCATTTTTGAAATTTTGCGACCTATTCTCAAAATAAACTGCCTACTACTCACCCTCCCTGCGTAGCACTGGATATACTAAGTGTGAATATACTATTTGTGTAGCCATCGCAGTTGCAGCTGTCCGTATGTCTACCTCCGTTGCCCGAGGCCCAAACAAATATGCTGCCCTTGCCCTTTCGGCCGCTGGTGACTCCATAGATGAACGCACGTCGTGCCAAAGGACCTGGACCGTCGACGGTTTTGCCGTCGTCCTCCGGACCCCATGAGGCGCTGTAAACGTCGATATGCTCAGGGTTCAGGCCGAGAGCACGGGCTTCTACAGCGTCGTTTACCACGCCGTCCAGCATGCGGACACCTAAGGACAAAGTTTATAGAATAAGCGCTAGGTAAAACATCAGTGGCACTCCCAAGATTTCAGTCAACATCAAGATTGCAATTGGAAGGTTGTGGTTGTTGATCTCTCGGTCCAGCATGGATTAGTTTTTTCCAGTATTTTTTCCATCGGACTATGATCTTAGAAAGTATACAGTCAAGGGTATCATGTCTCTTTTTGCTCATTCTGACAACAGACAACAGTCAATCATCGGCAAAGCTGTGGATGGGATTGATCGTTGATATGTAATAAAAACAATATGGATGCCATGCACGATCCCTGGGGAACACCCGCATGCAGCCGAAGAGGAAGGCAACCATCCATCTGCAAAGCTTCTCTCAGATGATATACGATGGAAGCTTGTATAAGAGGGCAGAAAGCCACAGCTGATCGAAAGCATTCGTGAAATTCATCATGTGAGTGGATGAGTTCACTCGATAGTTGTGTGACCTAAGCTAGGAGGTCTCCCGTTGATCGCTGGTACCAGAAACTATACTTTCGCTTTTCAAGCCGTCATGTTCGAGGTACTCCAGAAGCTCCCTATTTATGCATTGCTCCATCACCTTGGTCATAGAAGAAAGCAGAGTTACAGTTACGTACTGGTGATATCAGGCTTTGCTTGATTGAGGATACTGTAAGATTACCTCTGTTGCCACATCCTAAAGGAAATTAATATCAAATTTTTCGGTCCTTCTTTTTGCTGTGTGCCGAACTTCAGCGTATGAAAGCATGATACATGACTGGGCAGTTTTAAATGGCCAGAGTTTTATTGTTGACTTTATTCAAGCATCGAATACGTAAAAAACAGATGACCACTGCTGCACCCGCTGCAGCAGTGCAGTCTCTTGCAAAAAATGTGTGGTGCAGATAAGGCGACCGACAAACGAACTGACAAACCGACCAACCGTTGCGGTTGGCACCACATTGTTAATATTTTGCGGCGTCACGTGCACACACAGATGCAGGACGTCGATGCTGCGTCGCCGCTGCAGTCTGATAATGATGCCGTTTTAATCCGGCCACAGGCGCTTCGATGATAAAAACGCGATTTATGGCGAGAGTACAACGCAAAAATTTTGAAATAGGTAAAAACTAAAATTCCACGACCTAGCTTGGCGGGTGATATCTTTTTTATACACCGAAGCAGCCGCGCAAGCAGGACCCTAAGTACCAGGACATCGCAGCTGCTATGAGGAGCAGAAAGAAACCTTGCTAATAAGATATTTGAACTGCCTAAGTATACTACAACTGGGAAAAGCCTCTTCAGGTAGATTGTCCGACAATCTCGATACTTTAGGGACAAATGAGCGGTCATATCGGCGAGTTCTAGATGTACGAAGTTTGGCAGGTTGGAATGGGAGCCGAAGTCAGGCGGGTCTGTCTGGAAGGCATATCGTCATCGATTAGTCGGACAGCCCTCATCTGAACAGCATCGAGCATGGATAATGTAGTCGGGGCAGCAGCACCCCAAACATGTATGCAGTACTCGAGGCTAGGTCTTCTCTGGGCCTTGTAAAGAGTGAGGAGTGGAGGTCATGTGGAGAAACAAATAGCCGAGCTATTTCTGAGCAGTTACCGCTATTGACCAGATGTGTTCGCACCACACCAAGTCCTCGGTGATCTGGACTCCGACCAGTAGAAATGAACGGCTTTTTGGTAGAATTTGGCCATCCTCGAAACCGGATGCAGTGATAATCTTCAGGTCCCTTGTCAAAGAGAAAGTCGCTTCTAGTCTTTTCTCCTGCTTACCGGCAGAGATCGGCTTATTACTCTGAATTCCTGCACGTAGAGAGCTGTCATCAGCAAAGCTGTGGATCGGAGTGATCGTACAGGAAAAGAGATCGTTGATATGTAAAAGGAACAATGTCGGCACCAAGACCGAACCCTGGGGAACACCCGTGTGTACATTTTGTCATGAAGAGGAGGACCCGTTAATTACACGACGTATATCTTGCAGCCAGGGATGATAGCCACCCATCTGCAAAGCTTCTCTGGGAGGACATAGACCGGACGCTTGCATGAGAGTTCAGCATGCCACACCTGAATGAACGCTTTCGTGACATTAGACTCACCATGAGACCGGATGAGCTTACTCCATAGTTCCGTGACGTAAGCTAGGAGGTTTCGCGCTGGTGCCCGTCAATCTGCTTGGCCAGCGTCCAGAAAGGCTGACTGCCATTGCGCTGCGTCGTTACCCTACGCCTCATTTTTATATTGTGTTGGTCATTGGCATTGTGAATCGTTTCGTTATTTTTGATTTGGGACTCGACGTCGGCTTGTCCGTCCTCTACAGTCAGGTTTTGTAAGAAGCTTATGTGTGCCTTGATCTTCTGCTGACGAGCAGTGCCGCACGGTTTGTTGAACCAGCCGTTGGATCTTGGTTTAGACTCTTTCACTGTATGAGGGATGTATTCCTCCATCGCAACGTGGATAATTTCAGTTATTGACGAACAGGCAACGGACGCATCCCGGCCAGCGAATCAAACATTTCTCCAAGAGAAGGTGGATTAGTCATCTCTGGGCCCTTCCTAGGAGGTCGATCTTGACAGCGAGGTATTCAAGTAGGTAATCCCAGTTATGATGCGAGATAGAATACCATTTCGGCTGATTTCAAAGAAACATCTTTGAAGCAGGTAATATTACTGCGGACAAAAGTCACAGCTTTCCCGTTTTTCCTAAGCTTGGAGTCCACCTCGCAATTTGGAAAGCTAAGATTATTAGTCGGGACAGAATCGAAGATTTTGGTCTCACCAAAGTATGTAATATTTTTCTGGTCGCTCGAGCCACTATAAATTTAATAACATCAAGACATTGAGATATACCTCCCTCCACACCCCTACAAGCCACACCCCTAATTTACTACCTCTACCTTTTCTTAAGAATCATCAGGATCCTCGACAACGACGACGTTTGAAGGATTTCAATTTTTTTTCGTTTTTGGCCTTTAACTTCTCCGCCATTAGATCGATTTTTTGTCGACATTGACGTAGTAGGAATCTTGTGTAAAATTTTTATCCAAATCCGAGCAGTACTTTGCAGTTATAGAGTTGCCAAGGATTACCGGACAGACCGTCAGGCAAAGAGAAATGAGGGGCATGGTTTTTCGTGATATACATGTCATCTAACATCCAAAAACATATTTCATTTTTCGGAGTTTTCCGCCTAGAAAGTAAAATAACTTTGTGGATGTTTGAAAAACTTCGAAAAAAATGTCTCTTGACTGAAGTGAATGAATGCATGAATTATCACGTGGCAATATGGGCAATTTTACTTCGGATAAGTAATACAGGGGATTCACACGTCGTGACCAAAAATGAAACATCATACTCAGAACCGCATAAGGGAAATCTTCTATGTAACATTCTTCCCCATTAAAAAGAAGAAGGGGTTTCGAAGTTTAAAAATATTTTTTTAACATCTTCAAAACCGTCCACTGGACTGAACTGAACTTTGGTATGTGAATTTACCCAAGTATTGTCCACATTCAAAAGTGATTACCTAAAGTTAACGTGCGCCAGTGGCGAAGATACAGCAGATTAATGGCATTATTTTCACAAATAAAAATAGTTTTATTTCGAAACGCGTAATTTTTCGAATTTTACCTTCAATTTTTTTCCGAGAGTGCAATGCTTTCGTAAAAATAAAAATAAAACAAATTAGATTATTAATGGAGCCGAAATATAATTAGTTTCAAAATAAAATAAGAGGCCTTGATACCAACTTGACGTTTCTTGGGAGACAGTTTGCCAAAGTTATGTGTTATACGGTTGTTATCGTTACTAGTACCATTTGTTTTTCTGTAAAAGTCAAGTCAAACGTTTCTTTTTCCATTTTTGAGTGTGGTAAAGTAGAATTTAGCAATAATGAGTACGCCGATATTATTTTTGTGTATTTTCTCGCCCTAACGAGATTTTTCATCCTTATATCAATAACAAGACGCTAGAGCGGAAGGCGCTGCCAGTTCTTCTTTCTCCAATTCAACTGCATTCTCAATGCCATGCTATGTCCAGGTCGGTTAAACATCCTGAATAATACAAATTTCTTGTGACGTTATTTTGTATTTCATTAATAACTACCCTTGGAAGACAATGACAGCTGGGTATTTGAAGGAATCTGGTCGATCAGCACTCATACTAATGGAAACTATATCAAGAAATGATTCAATATGAATAAGCATTTTAGCAGAATACATTTAAATCAAGTTGATTCGTAGGCAAATGTCACACAATTAGTATTTACTGTGATTTGTCAATATTTATCATGACATGTGTTATGGATTGACCATGTAGTCAGCAAGTTAATAATTATTGTATATGGTTACGTATAAATCCACTGACACGGACTGACCGTGTGACACTTCGCCAGCAGAAAAATACATAATCTGGGCCGAAATCTAACAAAAAATTATTGAAGTCAAACAACTCCTATTTGTTTCATGTTCTTGTTACTTAAAATACAATATGTGAGAAAAAGGCGTCAGACCCTGACCGATGATGAAAAGATGCATTTGAGAATTTTCCTATCAGAAACTTTATCCTGCTGCTGGCTGGAAGATGATTGTTCTGGCAAAACAAAAGTATATACTTGAAGCAATTTCCACGGCGGTCCTCAATTTTCTGGTCGTATCCGAGGAGGAGATCGACATTACATTTTTATGTGTGTATGTGGCTGAAAAGTATACCCTCGGCGCGCCGGGTGTATATATCCTGAGCTCGGACCCCATAAATCATACCAGCCGAAGAAAAATATACATCGGGGAGTGAGAATAAAAACGAGCGGTTAAAAGCAGTGGTAGAACTGGTATAGGGTTTTTCAGGGAAATTCATTAGATCTCATTATATCCTATACCCCATTCGTAGTCCATTTACGCCTAGACAAAACACAATATGCCCAAAAGCGAGATTGTACAGTTCCGTATTTTCCTCCATGGTCTTGGAATAATCTAACAAATTTTTTATTCGCTGGAAGTACTTGAATCATCATCCGGATGGTTAATATTAAATACTGCAGGTTCGATTTGAATATGGATCATATTGTCCAGATCCTACATCTTTGTTTTGATTGTCTCTTGAACGTGACGGATGCAATTTTCAATGGTTTGCCGTCACTCTATTGACAGCTTCATAAAACAAATTTTTCGTCTTAGAAAATTTGATTGTTCTATTGTTTGAGTCCACATTGTTTCTTATATTTGCCCAAATCATTTCAATGGGATTTAGTTTGCAGTGAAACAGACTTATTTTGGCTTTTAGGAATTTCGTAAATAACATGAACATTATATTTATATTTATGCTGCCTCACTAGATGGATAACTTCTGCTTTGATCATATTTTCATTGAAATTAATGTATTTTGATAGGAGCCATTGTTGAGTTTCTACATTTCTTTTGGACATTGTGGGATTTTTTCTAGTTTTCAAGTGTGGTATGCAGCATTATCAAGTACAATGACAGCATTGTCGTCAAGCTTCTTCAAGCCATAATTCAAATAAACTACCGTCCATTTATTCATGGTAGTCGGTCGTTTTCTTTGACTCAAATGCCCATAAGGCAGTGGGCACAAAGCCATGTTCATTGCCAATGTGACAGATAACAAAGCGTTTTCGTTTTCCGGTAAATAATTATTTCATATAGTATTCAAGAAAACTAATAATCATATAAGCAGAGTATCCAACAGGTGTTGGTTCCAAATCTACCAGTTATACCTAAGTTTAGTGTGGCCTCATATACTCAGTATACTTGACACCATTTTTACAACACAAATGACGAATTGGTTAGATACACGTACCTGATGGATTCTTTAGGCTAGTGGTTAGTCCATCTAAGAAGTCTTGCTGATTTAATTGTAGAGTCAGCCCATACTTTAGGTTTTGTATGTCCTGCATTTATCGAGGTTTCATCTAAGTAAGAAATCTTCCTGCCCTGGTCGCGGTATTTCTTCATCGATTTTAAATAATTTCTTCTCCATAAAATAATCTCTTGGCTGTGCATCAAAATACTATTTTTGCCCTGTTTTCTATACTCAAAATGAAGTTCTTTGAGTAAATTATTGAATGTGGTCCTTTTGAAAGTAGGTAAGCCTTCATCACTATTAACCTCCTGTAACACTTTGTCTATGGTGGGAAGTTCCTGCCTTTCAAAAAATTGATGGACCTTGCGACTTGTGGCATTCCGATCAAAGTTATCAACTGTATTCAACAGCTTCGTGTAATGTGGCCTCTTGTGTGGGAGAGACAATTTTTTGTTTTTTTTATATTCTTTAACAATGTTGAAAATTGTATTAGGACATAAGCCTGTTTTGTTCGCCAAACGTCTTTCAATATCATGAATTTTCATTTCAGGATGCTCTAAAATTTCGCTCTTATAAACGTTTAGGACAATTTCTTTTGCCTGAATATTCAAATGTCCCTTCTTGTCACGTGTTCGGGAAGGAGATACCACTGAAGAGGAAGCATGGCTGAAGGAAGCATTGGGAGAAATATTCTCTGTTTCATCTGCTGTATCCGTAGACGACACGCTAGCGTAGAAACACACGCTACGTATGCACCGAATATGAACAGCAACTACCGACGTAGGCGTGCTGGCGACACCCCGAGCCTGAGTTCTATCCTGTCAAATCTTGCACATGTTCGTAGTTTTAGGGCCGAATGACCAATAGCTATTGCAATGCTTAGGCGGCTGTCGCTTTGCCGCGCTGTATCTTTGTTGTGCCGGGGGGTAAATAGACTTCGACTACGGTTTAGTCAAATATTGGTCTCCTATTCCTCGATGGCGCATTCTCGTAGCAACTAGGGTGTACATCCGTCTTCCTAGTATGATGATAGAACTGGTTACATACCTTTTTTTTGTAGGGTGTATATGAAAAAAATGCTAACAAGTAGTACACTTTCCACGAAATGCTGTCATCATTTCATAAATGATAAAAGTAAATGAATTAAGCCAGTTAAACAGGTCCAGTTTGTTATGTTGGTGTGACGCGAGTGTTGAAAATATATCTCTGAAGGTTTATGGGAAAATTTAAGGAGAAATATATTACGTGTAAAATATATACAATAGATGCGTACAGTTACCGAGATCGAAAACCCCGCACAACCCTTATTTTTTCTTCATTCTTGGAATTACAAGTATCATAGAGCAATGACGTCAACCTGGCCATGCTAGGGCATATAACGATATTCATCCTACAATCCTCGCTGCCACTGGTAGGGGTGGAGAGCCCTTACTCGCTCTATTATAAACTGCTTCTGGAAGCGTAATATAGTGTCCGCGGTAACCCGGGCCTCGTAAAATATGCACTAGCGACATACGGTACAATTAGGTAAATAGCCGCAAAACCACCATATACAAACTACAAAAAAGCCAGTATGTGCTGGAGATACGGCATGTTGAAAAAATGGGTGCGCAATAGAGGATGTAGAAATATATGGGCAATGGAGATACACTGCCTTAAAATTTCGCATATTTAGAATGCAATATAAGAAAAACACATCTATTTGAAAAACAGGGTAAGCTAGGTTTGAGAAAATATGTATTGGTTTACAGAAACTTTACACAGACTTTAAGGAAATCCGCTGATCCGTATACCCTGTGTGAAATTGTGGATCATTATAAACAAAATGTCAACATGGAGTAAGACCACTTGGAACTTTTAAAATTTCAGGTACTTTTAGTGTAAAGTCCTTGTGTTACGATACGAAATATATAATATAATAAATTTAGTATGCTAAATTTCGTACAAAATTAAGGATAGTCTCCGACAGCAGGCATAATTTTGTATGTACAAGCGATACATTTTGTAGAGCTTGTCATACTAAAAGTGCGCAGACGACTACTGCGTATTTGGAGCAGCTGATATACCCTCAAACATTTTCATTAGTTGATGTTATCAGTTGTGTTCATCAGTTTCGCGAAACTCCCCTCCTTATCCTGTTCTACTTATTGATTGAAAACTTAAAAGATGTCATGATCAAAAGAGCAGTGTGACATACTACTAAACGAGTATGAGAAATATGATTGTTTATCTGCTGTGAAAAGCAAAGCCTATAAAAACACAAAAGCCAAATAAGCTGCGTTGGATAAAATCCGAATGATTTTAGAACCAATTAGGCTTATAAGAATATGGAGCACACCCATGTCCTGGTCCCTCTCCCTGATCTATTTTTGGCACCAAATTCTTTTACGGTTTCGTTCACTTTTTTTCTCATGGGATCGCTGCTGCCGCAGTCGCATATAATATATGCGAATTATGAGATCCCTCCATTTTCAAAAAAATTCTATTAGTTCAAAGTAATGAAGTAGCTAGCCGCAAAGGAAAGTGCGGTTAAAATGAATTTGACATTATAAATGGCAGTTAGCAGTTGACAGTTATACTTTTTTATACCAACTGCGCACGATTCCGTAAGAAATTTAGCACAAAAATTTCTTTACGTGTCAGACAGGATTGTAATTCGTAAACAAATTGGAAACTAAATTCGGTAACGAATTTTTTCGCAAAATTTGGTACTAAATTATTAACAAAATTTTGTATTATGACGGCCTCAATACTAGACGTATCGAAAAAATAAATACTCTAGAATGCATGCTAACTACTCAAAATCTGTGACCACTTTACATTCATTACCAGGTGCCTTTAAGCTCCTTATAACAGACGTGGTTCCTCGGGTTTCTGCTTGCGCGGTGGTATCAGTATAAAAAACGTCCAATAATGTTTGGTACCTATAGAACACATTTTTTTTAAATCGCAAAAACAATAATCAGAACTTAATTTTGTGCTAAGAGCTGCAGCTATAAATTGATTTGGAGGTAGGCTCGCCAGTACACATGGAACAGATGAGTTATGACGAAGACGAAACATCGTTGACGAAGGTTGGTTTTGTACGAGTGATAAAGTTTGTTTTTACATCTGTATAAAACATCATAGTTTTTAAGCATATCAAACAATGTTTGGGATAATTTCAAAAATACCAAAATATGATTTGGACGTTTTTCAAATTTCTGGTCAACTTCGGGCAGAGCCAGTTCTTTGTTTGTGTGTATGTGTGTGTGTGTGTGTGTGTGTGTGAAATTTTGTAATTTTACGTTGCGTAATAATACTCATACAAAAAAGCCATTTCCATACTACAAAATACCCTCAATATCTCCACATTATATTTTACCTCCAATGCTAGCATTGTAAGCGACCCCGATGCCACAAAACTGGTTGTAAGCAACTGCAGCAACTTCCCCTGCACATCTTGTCCCGTGCTTGTTATCGCCGTTGTCTTGTGGCATGGGATCGTCATCATTGCCGTTGATATCTGTACTAGCTTGAGGATCCTGCAACAAGAAATATATCTTTATATTTTAGTTTTTTAGTACATAAGTTGCGTTAAATGTATATATATTTATATATATATATATATATATATATATTTATGTAACTGGAAGTCTCAGTACACTACGCATAGATTTGGGCATAACAGCAGATGTCATGTGGTTAGATACTTATGAATTTGGAGACAAAACAGGTCCCTGAGGAACAACCATGTTGATATTGTGGGATGAAGAAGAAAGCGGAAAACAAATATCTTACGATCAGAAAGGGGGTAAGATTAAAGTTTACTAAGGAGAAAGAGAGCAGCATACCGCATCAGCTGTTTGACAACCGTGGATATATGATGGTCACTTCATTATGATCGGATGAACTTAGTGAACAAAAATGATATGTAGACTGGCAGTAAATGGTCACAACCACTAAAAAGGAATTGCAACATGTGTACATCTAAGCATTATTGACTGTCCGCTTCAAAAGCAGAACTTCTCCAGGCAGACATACTGTTTTCGCGTTTGAAAATCGAAATTTAGAGAATAGCGGTTGTGAAGCACTCGGCGGATAATGAAAACTGACAGTTTACTGTTTATGGATATTACTGACGATTGAAAACAGAGATGTTTGCGTTTATTCCGGCAGATAACTTGTAGACCGTTCACCGTTTCCGCGAAGAGTATTGATTTGATTGTTTACTAAATGTTTGCCAATATGCAATGGCATGTCTGCTGTTTTCCTGTTTCTTTTTTTTTAAGCGAAGTAGCTTATTGAGTGAAAGGTATGATTTCAAAAACATAGAATTACAGGGTCTCCCAGAATAAGATGGAAATCTCTTTGATATAATAAATCATAATGCCAGAAATCCCTATAAACGAATACCGGAAAACATATCTCAAATAATAACAACACTGCATAATTCAATAAAATTTTGTCAGTTAGAACCCAAAGAAAACCATTTAGATAACTGGAGACTGGCTAGCCCCAACGCAGTATTGGCAATGTCCTTCCCATCTTTTCATACTTTTGTTTGACTCGAGATATCTTCGAGTAAAATATTCAAAACTGCTAGGACATGTGAAAAATAAGCGACCAATGCCGTCAAATGCTCTGCATACTTATCAGAAAGTCTTTAAAGAATATAACATATTTTGTGAAAATAAATTCTCAGTTCCATGGTAATATATTTATTAATGTTATATGTATGTGTGAAAGAATATATTAGAAAATGGTTCTCTGCAGTAATCCCTCATCCATATTTCTAAACTAGTTTATTCAAGAAAGAACAAACAAATTATTGGATATCGGTTTTTCTGAAAGAGTGTGTTTCATTTTTTTTAGAAAAATTGCAAACATTCAAAGCGTTTCCCTCCACTAAGTTCTTTTCTTTCATACTTCTAACTTCTTTTTATATCTCAAGAAATAAATGAGTTATGGGTTGGCGTTTCTAAACATTCCATATTTTTTAGCGCACAGGGGTATTATGTGAAAAACCTAAGAAATGTCAAGAAAACGACGAAAAGTCATCTTGCAGACTAAGTAATTTTTAATGTGCAAATAGTTCATTCCACGTCTGCTCGCTATGATCGCTGTCCTCTGACATGTACAGCTCCAAAACGAGTTCACAACAAGTGTACAACAGTTTGTGCTAAGTTAACATTCTGTAGAAAAACCTACAAAAAACCTACAAAATATGAAAAACCGACATCAAGATACATACGTAATACCCGTGTCGGTCATACTTTTTTACATTTCTGGCCTATTCTCATTATTGCTGTGGGATTGCCAAATTATTGAAATCCTAATGCAATATAATGCGTACAATTTCGTCAGTCAATCTTCTTCTGTAATCCTTCTCATGAGAAACTCTGATCAAGTAAGTATCTACACACTGCAGACAACATTACAGTAGAATGGTATAGAAAATAATTTATTTACCTCTAAGCTACTTCATACAATAATAAATATTACAAGAACCTGTCACTAAATTTTTACTGACAAATTTTAACCTACTAATTTTTTGTAGTTTATTATCATATTATCATACATTTCGTTCAATTTTCATTTATTTATTTTATGGTATTTGTTTTCAACCATACAGTACGAGTAAGTTTGACCATTTCACTATTCATCACATCTACAATTTTGTTACTTACTAAACCACTAGCCAAAATTAATGTATCATCCGCAAACAAATGTATAAAATAATTATTAAGAACATTGGACATATCACGGAGATACATAAAAAAGAGTAATGCACCTAGTACGCTGCGTTGAGGTATACCATGATCAACAGAAACATCATTTGATATTTTGCTCTCAATGTTTACCACCTGTAGTCGCACTGTAATCAGGCAGCAGCGGTGGCCGCAGTGGTAGTCGCCGTGCGCTGTGAGGTTCGAATCCCGTCCCAAGAGACATTATTTTCCTGGCTATGGATGTTGTGATTGTCCGAAGGTGGTAGACGGTTAAGACGGTCTCTGACTGTCGTACGCGGTTCGGTACCTTTGTACATACAAACTGACATGTAGTCTCACAAGAATGATTGCTTCTGAACCCTGATTGCCTTTCAAACAGAATACAGTTCACACGAAAAAGCTCACTCAGCTGCTCATGCACCTTTATTACTATATTTTTTGATAACGGGAATTAGATTGATCGGCAGCAAGTCTTCTAGCTTTTTGAATTGATTGTTTTTGGTACTGGGGCTATGATATTCTTTTTCAGTAACTGTTTTACGTAGATAACTTAGTGAAATTTCTTGAAATCGTCAAAGTTTCTCTTCCAAAGGCACTGCTTCCGTTATTGCTTCTTAATTACTTGTATGGTATGGTGCTCACTATACATATCAGTTACACTCTTGATAAAATAATTGTTCAATTTATTCTCTATAGTGTCACAGCCGTTAATTTCTAAAGACATATGATCAATGTGTTCATGTTTGTCACTAACGAGATCTTTCAAAGTTTTCCTCGTTTGTTTGCTGTGTCTCCTTTGCACCTCCCAATATTTTCTCTATAATACTTCTTTTGTCTTGATCTAATGAGAGCAACAACTTTGTTACGTTTTTCTTTATATTTATCAAAGTCATCCCTCAGTCTGGTAAATTTAAAAGTCTGGTAGTGCACGTCTCTTTTGTTGTTCTAAAGGTGCAATTTTATTTATACTTTCATTCATATTGACAAGATATAGTTGATACATCCTAGATATATGGCTGGCACGGGTATTACGTATCTTGAAAAGCGACATTATGTCGATTTTTTTGACATTGTATTGGTTTTTTGTGACATTATGTAGGTTTTTGTACAAGATGTTAGCTTAGAACTGGCTGATGGACACTTGTTGCGAACTCGTTTTGTTTTACGTGTTACCTAAACGTCATGATGCTTTAGTTATCAATGTTTGCCTATGATATGATGTAAAATCTGCTTCAGAGATAGCATTCCCGGAGGTCTAAGCCGTAAGTTGTGTGCTATAGCTAGAAGATAACGACAATGCATAGGTGCATCGTGAGGATTTGTGTGCTAATAATATGTGTTGATGATAATTCCATTGGATTCTTGTCTCAAACACACTTACTTGAGATTCAACGCTAGAAATTAGTTGCGCATCCACTTTTTCCAAGTTTTTGATATAATAATAGATATAGGACATTTGCAGCATATTCAGTAATAATTTCCTAATCTTCTTAAAGATGAAAACTACAGACTATTCGGCTGCATAAAACATATGCAACGAACAATGTGTGTAGTTGAGTCATTCCGCCATAGATGGACGCTCATAACGATCCTAGTGAGCAAACTTGGAATGACTGTTTGCACTTTAAAAACTACCTAGTCTGCAAGATGACATTTTATATTTTTTTGACGTTTTATACATAATACCCGTGCGGGTCAGAAGCATTGCCCATTTAGAGGCACCATTGGAACGTACAATGTGCCCTAGAGTCTTACAAAAGGATCAAAACGAATATTTGGTTTCTCTAAAAGCGATATCGTTATAATCTGCTTGTGTTGATGCTACCAAATCTCTACTTTGCTCTGGGCTTTGTGATGTGTGATATATAATTACAGAGGCCTAAATACACAAAGAACGAGATCATCTTTGACTCCACAAACATAAAAGTTTTCCATGGCATATATGAAACAACCTATATCACGGTACAGTGTATCTAATACAATTCAGTGGCCCAAATTAATGAAAAGTACCATGACGTTGAGAGCTCGGTTCATGCCGTGATACGCTACCTCGGGCGATCGTACTGTGTGGCTGATGCTGCGAGGTCGTCTACGGAATACTCGTTTTAAATAGTCCGGTCTACTTGGCAGCCGAGCGTAATTGAGCTGTAGTTGTGTGTGATATATCGATAACTGTTGAACAAGAGCCCATTTACGCACGTGGCGCGTTTTGAAACAGCGGCCGTATGACATTTCTTGTCTGTCTTCTTTCTACACAAGGGGCTGTTAGTAACATATGAGGGTGAATCAGATTTGAACAGTGTTGCCAGAGCCAACATTGAAAATTCCGCTACTGGTATAGAAAAACTCCGCTACTTTCCGCTACCCCGGGGATTATCGTCGTGGGGGGCGCATTAAGACAGGGGGGCATTTATTATACAGATTGTGTCAAAAACGGAAAACAAAAACCAAGCAGCGTGATAAAATATAACATAAAACTGTAATAAAAAAACATTTGACTATAAAAACCAATACAATATTACCAATAACTGTCAAACAACAGAACATTTATCACGCAGGCATATTAAAAAAATATCACAGGAAACTAAAAAATCAAAAGGATATGACTAAAGGCCATTTCTGTTTCGCATAATAAAATTGAAGTTTTTGAGTTACTTAAACTTAGTCACTGTCTGTATCAGATTCTTCTCGTTGCATTTCTGTTCTCTCTATACTATATAAGTTATTTTTGTATTTTTTTAAATGTTCTTCACCAAACTCGATGTCTGAGCAGCAACATTTTTTTGTATTGTATCTTGTATCCAGTTTGATAA